GGGGACAATTCGTTAACAATTCGTGTATCAAAATTGCACAGATGTCGCTCGGTCACTGGTCAGGGTCCGTGCTCCTAGGATATAAGAGCCCCCTGAGGCGTTCATCGGCGAGTTATCTCCCAACCACCAAGCAAGACGGACCGTATCGAGATGAAGAATTTAATTGAAGATTTTCATTCAATCAAAATCGAAGATGGCCAAAGATGATGGTTCACGAGCAGCGGCCAAAGGACAAACCGGTCTTTTTAAAGACCAAGAAAATCTCATTTGTGGGAACCACTAAACTGAACAACTTTTCTATTTAACAACTCAGAGACTTTTTACATCTCTGTTTTGGAACAACTTGTGTAATAAAACTGAACATGGTATATTTTTGCCTATATAGGCGAAAAATATACAAATACAAATTGAATTTATTGAATTGATATTAAATAAACGTTCTTTGCTATAAGTTCAAAAAATTATTATTTGAAATAGTAGAACAATTAGAAAATAAATCGTTTGAAAATAATTTCGAAGGTCTTACTCGATAAACTATATTCAAACGATTTATTTACAAAGTATTGTTTTAAGTCAAACATGATCAGAGGGTCTTGAAACGTGTATTTACGTATCAATTTTTCATTCAATATGGGCTTTGCTTATATATTTGTGTCTATATAACTTGAATTTAAATTCAAATGGTAATGAAAAATCAATGACGCATGTTTGTACATTATTTTTTAATCCTGGACTCGTTAATGGTACTTCTCTAAGATTAGATAGGGACAGTAATGGGGAAGAAAATTTAGTGTCGGTGCCTTCTAGTTCGTAACATTTAAGCTTTTTATTACAGTCTCTCATCATGTATTTCATGAAACCTCTCCTTCTATTCATTCCTGATTACAGAAATGCATATATAACTCTAATAATTTTTAAACTTATTACATTGCTCAATGGATAGGAATAATCCTCTATTTGTACAGGACAAATATATAAACGTCGAACCAACAAGTCCATAAAATATGCAGGATAATTGCCCATAAGAAATTCATCTACAAACAAATTAGGTACATTAGCTAGTAGTGCATTATTGGTAGCAGATTCTGACCCCTTTAAGCATGTCTAATATTTCAACTTCGTTTTCTTCCTCTTCTTCTTCTTCTTCGGATGATTCAAAGTCTCCATTTTTATCAGTTTCTTCTATGTACATTAGACTATTAACATCCCCATCAAATTTAAAAATTCTGTTTATGGAATGTGTTGTGGCACGAGCTGCATATTCCTGTAAAAACCCCAATGGAACAAGTATTTCTGCAGATGCATTTGTATAGCCATTTATATTGATTTCTATTATGCTTAATATATTTTGTCTTACGGTTTTAGGTGATCTACATGGTATTCCAATGACTACTCTGTCCAAGGTGTAAAACCTGCTCAACCATTGTAAAGTTGCTTCTATACAATACTGTCGATTACTATACCTTTTTCTTCTTATTCGTCGTAACTTTAAATAACGAAAGAAGTTTCTAAATGTACCACGTTTTACATAATCATTGCCTAGTAATATTGCAGCTAATGGCAGTGTAGATTGACTTAGACCTCTAGAAGAATTTAATAAGTGTTCAACTTTATAAATTTTACAACGTTTCGTGTAACCATTTCCAGTTGAACTTTTCACCGTGTAATTGTCCAATGTATCAAATGGTATGTACAATGTCCCAAACACATAAAAATCTGAATCATAACTCGATACAGGACAATTCAATACCCTTGCTACAGTAGCTATAGCATTATCAGCTTCGAATAAGCATTGCACATGACGAACATTCTTCTTTCTCGTAACATCTTTGAAAACTTCCTAAATATGTAAAGGACAAAAATTTCATTTTCTGTTGACAGATCGGAGAAAAAGATGATGCTGTACGAATCTTTACTTTAGTTCTAGATATAACTGTTTGCAGTTTCTTATCCTCGCAACCGCCATCGATCAAAACTAATGGTACTACATTGTACTTTAACAAATCGTCAAAAAAATCCGATACTCGTTGAGCGTATTTATCGTAATCACCGCCAAAAACACAATTGCACTTGTACGAATTATATATTCGACAGCTAAATAACTAAATACGTATCACGTAGCTCGAACTATTCCAAATAACGATCTGAACGATTGTTTATGAAAGTTGTTAAACCCGGAATACCCATTTTGAAACCTACTTATTAATTTACACTTTTCTTAATGTTTCATATCACAAACTAAGTTCGTTATGCGTATATCAATATTAGTTATGCATTTATACATAGGTTACATGTAACAGGTACTCAAATTTTGTGTCATTCGTTATTTTATTTGAATCAAATGTTTGTTAAATATTATACTTTGACTACTTGGATAAATCAAAGAAATACAAGAGCTGTGCATAATGTTTTTGCATTGATCTTTACGATATTACAAACCGGTATAATAAAAAATAAAATTAGATAGTATACTGATCTTGCATAATGAAGTGCATTGACTGCCGACAATACTAACGACGAATTTCCTTCCTATACATATAGGCAAATATACCATGTTCAGTTTTATTGCATAACTTGTTCCATAACAGAGATGTAAAGTGTCTCTGAATTGTTAAATATAAAAGTTGTTACAAAACAGAGATGTAAAGTGTCTCTGAGTTGTTAAATATAAAAGTTGTTCAGTTCATTGCATAAGTTGTTCCCACAAATGAGATTTTCTTGGTCTTTAAAAAGACCGGTTTTGTCCCTTGGCCGCCATCTTCGATTTTGATCGAATGTAAATCTTCAATTAAATTCTTCATCTCGATGCGGTCCGTCTTGCTTGGTGGTTGGGAGATAACTCCCGCGCGAGGGCCTCAGGGGGCTCTTATAACGTTTCAAGGAGGACGGACGATGGTCGCCCCCAGCGGACTGGCTGCTGATTGGCTCGTTGATACTTTGGCTTGACTGCATAAAAGTGGACACAGCTGGGCAACTATTTTCAGTACTCCTGGAACCGCCGGGGGTACTGTCACGCGTTTTTGTTTTCTGTTTCAGATATCTTCTGCGATGCTGACCAGGAAGGAAGGATCACCCTTTGGTTTTGGTATAGATACAATTAATATTAATATAACTAATGAAAATATTGTGTTTTTCTGCATTTTTATGTATATAGGTATTTTCATATTTGGGTTCTTCGTTCATCTAGTTTTATCTATATTCGTTACATCGTTGGGTTGATATTTTTCAATTTATTCTATTCTATCTTCGTCTCGCTTTCATCGTTGGTTTGTTCTTTTACGATTTATTTTGTTATTCGTCTTGCGCTTCGTTGGTTTTTTAATTTTCAAAATTAATCTATAATTCAAAGTACACATCGTTGGTTTCTTTTTTTTCGAATGATTCGTTTCGTTAATTTACTTCGTTGGATTGTTCCAATTCCTTATTTCAAACTAATTTGTTATTTAGGTTTTATTATTTGTCTACATGTACACATAACTACTAATTTTTATTTCAGTTTTTTACCAGATCAATTTCTAGGAGGAGGAGGAGATCAATAGATGACGTCGGATTCATCGGCCGGGATTTAAATGTAAGCCGATTAATTTTAAGGCGCGGCGCGAATGTAAAAATTAACGTCGAATTTTTCTTTTTCCTTCTTTTCCTTGTTTTTCCGATGTTTCCTATATTTTATTAATTCACATTAATTCTCAATTCCACCTACGACGTTAATTTTCAATTTACATTGTATATTATTTTATTTACTGCGTAGATTGCCAAGTGATGAAATAATTAATAGCTTCTTTTCCAGTCTCGTTTCTCCGGTCACCGCTGCTTTAATGTAGAAAGCAAGTGATCGGCCGTTTAGATGGTTCGAAGGGTCGGTTGCCGTCCTCTGGTGAGACAATTCTAGGGAAAGAGTCATCGGCCGTAGAGGGGACCTGTTCCTGTCTGCGGTAGCCCCGACTCAGGATCCCTCTCCTGTGTCAGACGTCCCGGGTTGGGTCCTACGGGCTCCCAGCAGGACGCGTTGGAGAAATGGGGAACCCGTGTCTGGTGCGTCGATTCTCCTCCCCTTCAATTGGACTTGCTGAGAGGCAACGAGCTGCCCCTTTTGACCCGCTATTCGGTACGTGTCGCACCTCATGTTCCTACTGCACTGTGCAGTATTGTGTCGCGTTTCGTCGTGTCGCGTCTCCCATAATTTAGCTTCCTCCTTTGTTTTAGAAAAGTAATTACTTGGCATCTTGTTTTTTGCGTCGTTTTAGTTTCTAAGTGTGTAAAAAGGAAGGTCGATCGAACTTTGTTCCATCGATCTCACTTTGGGTCTCCACTCGCAGCAACCTCCTCGTGGTGAGACCTGGTAATCGGTGTTACCTTTGAAGAACAACTTCTTCATTATGGGTAACACCGAGCTAATGGTTGCGAATTTAAAACAATATAAATTTGATTTTTAATCGAAATCAAAATTAAATGTTGTCTAATACTTTTTTCTAGGTATTCATCAGCTCAACTTCTACAAAAAATTTCAATGAGATAAGTTTTACTTTATTTATTTTCAAAAATCGTATTAATAATATACACATGTGTGCTCATACATGGGAATAAAAAAAAATTTCTTTTTTTTCAATAATTAAAATATGATCAGGAGGTCTTAAAACGTGTATTTCCGTAAAATAAATTTTACAAAATTTTTTTTTCATCATGGGTACTTTGTTTATGTGCGCCTACATAGGTCGGAAAGTAAAAATGCCTGGGCAGTCGAGAATCCAAATCGTATGCCGTTGACGGGAGGTCGGATTTCAGTTGTGTGGGAGCGAGAAGGCAAATGTGAGCCTTTCTCTCTCGACTTCCACGAAGCGGTCCGAAATTACTTCGGGCAGCTTCGGAGAATCGAGAAAGAGGGCATGCGTCAGTTTGCCTTTGTCGACTTTCCGAAACTCCACGAGCTCACGTACGCGTATCTGGCATGGGTGCGTGTGCACGGTGTGCACCCGGCGGTCCTTTTCTGGCATCTCTGGCTGAATGCGTATGTAGATTTAGATAGTATCGTGTGTTGAATGGAATAAACTTTCAAAGTGTTGTGAATGCAATTTTTAAATAGAAAATTGAAAAAGAATGTTGTTAAGAAACATTATTGAAATATTAAACAATGAATGTATCGCAACGTGAAAATGGTACAACGCATCGTTTGATTCAGGTTGTAAAATAAGTTTTCCGCATTGTCGTTATAATATCAACAAATGTATGTACAATTATTAAGTGTGTAAATTATTAATTCGAACGTTCTTACGACCACAAAGTATTCTTTAACATCTTTGCAACGATGGCAGAAAGTAAACAAGAACTTGCACGAAAGGTTAGTAGAATGTACAATTAATCGTGTAAAACAATTCTTTCGTTAATGGCCTGGGTTTCATAAAAACCAAAATATGTTACATCTAATAGAGATACAGAAGAGAAGACGAAGGAGGGGAAAGTGTTTTGGAAACAGACGATAGTTATATCCCTTATGTACCGGTTAAGGAGCGCAAAAAGCAACAATTAGCCAAGCTTGGTAAGCTCGGACAGTCAAAGGACGAAGCTGCTGTTGGAATTATTGGGAAAAGTAGTAGCGAGAATGAAAGAGACGACGCAGACGACGACGATGGACAAGTATGGGGAAGAAAATCGAATATTTCCTTATTAGATCAACACACTGAATTGAAGAAGCTGGCAGAAGGTGAGTCCGTTAAAGAATTTTAGCGAAAGTGCAAGTTAATTAATCGGCAAAATATTTCAGCTAAGAAAGAAAGTGCTATGGAGAAACAATTGAAAGAAGAAGAAAAGATTCTAGAGAGCGTAGCGGAAAACAAGGCTTTAATGGGCGTGGCAGAATTAGCGAAAGGTATTCAGTACGAAGATCCGATAAAAACCAGCTGGCGACCTCCGAGAACGGTTCTTGCGCTAGGAAAAGCAAGACACGAAAGAGTTAGAAGGAAGCTTAGAATTTTGGTGGAAGGGGACGATGTTCCACCGCCTTTAAAAAGTTTTAAAGAAATGAAATTTCACAGAGGGATCTTGAGCGGTTTGGAACAAAAAGGTATTGTCAAACCAACACCGATTCAAGTTCAAGGAATACCTACGGTGTTAGTACATATTTAACGTACCATTAACTCTTTCTTGGTAGAATAAAATGTTTATTTTTACTCTTTGGATATATTATAGGTTGTCTGGTCGTGATATGATTGGTATTGCCTTCACCGGTAGTGGAAAGACATTGGTATTCGTGTTACCTATCATAATGTTCTGCATGGAGCAAGAAGTGGCTATGCCGTTTGTAAGAAACGAAGGACCGTATGGTATAAATATTTACAGTATATACACATACGTACATATAGTATATACGGAGAGTAATAAAAGTAAAAAAAATTGGCTTAATTTTGTTGCAGGTTTAATCATTTGTCCGTCGCGAGAATTAGCAAAACAAACATACGATATCATTCGTCATTATACCAACAGTCTACGGCAAGCGAGCTGTCCTGAAATTCGTAGCTGTTTAGCCATTGGCGGTGTGCCTGTATCAGAGTCTTTAGAAGTGATCAACAAGTTGGTGGATCGTTTGGCACTGCAATCCTTTTTTTACCGCATTGTATTACATCTAGTTTTTTGTTGTTGTTACAGAGGTGTGCATATCATGGTAGCTACTCCTGGACGATTAATGGATATGTTGGACAAAAAGATGGTAAAACTTAGCGTATGTCGTTACCTTTGCATGGACGAAGCAGATCGCATGATCGATATGGGGTTTGAAGAGGATGTGCGAACGATTTTCTCGTTTTTTAGGGTAAAGATATTTAACCGCGATGGTTTTAATACTATTTTATGGTATCGTGTACGTTAAAGGTAAATAAGTACTGTTTACAGGGTCAGAGACAAACGTTGCTATTTTCCGCGACCATGCCAAAAAAGATACAAAATTTTGCTCGATCCGCTTTAGTAAAACCAGTAACGATAAACGTTGGTCGCGCGGGTGCTGCATCGATGAACGTAATACAGGAAGTGGAATACGTTAAGCAAGAGGCAAAGATCGTGTATCTATTGGAATGTTTACAAAAGACTCCACCACCGGTACTTATATTTGCCGAGAAGAAACAGGACGTGGATGCTATTCACGAGTATTTATTGCTGAAAGGTGTCGAGGCAGTGGCGATACACGGTGGAAAAGGTAATATTTACCGGACTGGTCGGAAAGAGAATGTCGCGTTCGATGCTTGTACAAATTGCTTTTTTATTATTATGTTTGACAGATCAGGAAGAGAGGTCACGTTCTGTGGAAGCGTTTCGCGAAGGTCGGAAGGATGTGTTGGTTGCAACGGATGTTGCATCCAAGGGTCTTGATTTTGCCGATGTGCAACACGTTATAAATTACGATATGCCCGACGATGTGGAGAATTATGGTACTTTATTATACTTTTACAAGTATATCGAATAGATTAATTAATTAAATAATACGTTGTTGTTGTTGTTGTTGTTGTTGTTGTTGTTGTACAGTGCATAGAATCGGAAGAACTGGTAGATCCGGGCGGACTGGAATAGCGACTACGTTCATTAATAAAGCAAACGATGAATCGGTGTTGCTCGATCTAAAACACTTGCTCATGGAAGCGAAACAAAAGGTTCCACCGTTTTTGTTGGAGCTTTGCTCGGAGAACGAAAAGTATCTAAACTTGGGAGGTAAAATGCTTCGTGTTAAATCGTTTCATGAATTCATTTCCCTTTTGTTTAAAATCAGAGAAGAAATAGTATTTCCGTTAACGTTTCAGACGAACGTGGATGCAGCTATTGCGGTGGTCTTGGTCACAGAATCACAGAATGTCCTAAACTGGAAGCTATCCAAAACAAACAAGCATCCAATATCGGGCGTCGTGATTATTTGGCCAGCAACGCGGCCGACTATTAAAACAGACATTTTGAAAAAATTTTTGATTTCTTAAAAGGAATATTAACGCAACAACAGGGAAAAATGTGTAAATAGTATCGATAGTTGATAAGTTAATAAAATGTAAAGCGAGACGGTCTGCGTTCTTTCTATGCGTTCCATACGTTTTTGTCCTTTGATTAATTAATTATTTAATTTACCGTTCCCTTGTTTCGAATCTCTATACGCGATCCTTTTATGTTTTCGCTGTCGATATGCATACGTATGCAATAAGTTTCCGGTAGCTAGTTCTAATAAAACAAAGAGGTAGAAACTGTTTAGTAAATAACATACTCGGTTAAATTAAAGTTAAACGATGATTCGAGAGAAGGATGGGGCGGTTGACGAAGAGAAGAAGAGGATTCAGGAGCGGAAAACCATCGAGATGGAAAATTGTCGACAAACGTTGTTTGGAAGGAGCGAGAAGAAGCAACGTTTACGTGAAATACATATCGATCGCAGAGAAGCAACGGAAGCGATAAAAGTTGAGCAGGATAAAAAAGCCTTTGAGCTGAAAGTTAGTCAGGGTGAACGTGCACGGCGATTGGCCGAACAACTGTCGGTTCGTAAACGTAAGCGCCTAACTTTCTTTTACATGATGTTATTTTAAAGTTATCGTTTCCGCACCATTGCACAGATTTCGAATTGGGAGAATTTTTGGAAAAGAGGAAAGCAAAGTACGCGAGTTTGGTAAATCGGTCCGTGGAGAAGCTGGAAGCCGGATTAACCGAGGAGAGAAAACGAGACCGGAAGGCGTTAAATTTAAACTTGTTTAACGTATGGCCTTACATCGATCATTTCGACGCGAAACAAGAAGAAGAGAAGAAACTGAATTACAGAAGAGAATTGGAAAACCAGCTGATTGATAATCGTCGGATGCAGCGCGAGAAGGAGGAAGAGAAACACCGGGAGCGCAAAATATCGGAGGATGTTGGAGAAACGTTGCGCAAAGAGAACCTAGAAGCAGAGAAATCGAACAAGGGCACTGCTCTCCTGTTGCAAGCCGAAAGAGAGGCCTTTATCAAGGCTAGGCAAATATGGAAAGAAAAACGAAAGGAAGTTCTCGGAGAGGAGTACGATCAGATTTCACGGATAATTGGGAAAAAGGAGGTTCTGCGAAAGGAAGAAGCCCGGCTAAAGGTTTAAAGGGGAATTCGTTTATTGGAATCGAACGTCCCGGGCGAAAAAAGAAACATCGTGGCATTATTTTCTCTTTTAGATCGATACGCGCGCAAAGAAGGACGCGACGATAGAAACGATAACGAATAAGATCAAGAACGAGGAATACAAGAAACTGGAACGCGAAGAAATTACTCGTGAGTTGTATCTGGCAGAGAGGGAAGATGAATTGGCAAACGAGGCGGTAAAGCTAGCGTTTAAGAAAAAGCAAACTGCGACACAACTGTTGCAAGATATGGTAAAACTATAGCAGTGTATCGCGTGCGCATTTTTATCACCACTAGGTTTCCATTCAAATATCATTAAAAAGTTGTTCGTTAATGTTTAATACGGTGTATCGATAAATTTCCTTTAGAAAATTTCTATGTTTTGTTGAAACGTGTTCGGTACCAACGGAAAGGTAAAATTAGAGTACCATGTACATATTACTTTAGTTGCGTTTTTTATATTCCGAGGCGAGGCATCGGAAAGCTGTTGACGAAAGAAAAGCGAAAGAAGATGCAGTCGATGCAGCGTTCGGTAGATATCTGGCCGACGAACGACGAAAATTAGAGGAACAGGAAAAGCAAAAAGAGCTTGCTCGTCGCGAGAAAAGTATAGTATTTTGATTCATCCGTGTTTCAAATAAAATTCTGCAACGTGACAATAATTGCCGCACATTGTATCCCGTTACACATAGGTATACGATACGGAAACGAATTAAGAGAGACTATAACGAGGAATAGAATAGAATATTTACAAGAGGTTGCGCATACGCGATCCGGAATAGATCGAAAGGAGGTAAGCGGTAAAGAGGAAGACGGCAGAGTCACGCGGAAAGGAAAACGCGATGCGGAAGTCTGCGCGAACCGTAAAAGCAAATGTTACTCGGAAATGGATCTTGAAACTTGGGAAGCACAACAATCGAACAACACGGTACACGCATAAATTCTTTCTTTCTTTCTTTCTTTCTTTCTTTCTTTCTTTGTTTCTTTGTTTCTCTATGATAAGCCAGAATATCGTATTAAATTCTCGAGTGTCTCACAATTATCCACAGGCCCAAAGTAAACAATTTTCGTGTGTGTGTGTGTGTGTGTGTGTGTGCGCGCGCGCGCGCGAGAGGCGAGGCTCTCGTTGCTTGTACAAAGTCCGTGTAAAAATACAGCAGCCCTATCTTGTATAGGATATACATACATATGTAAGTACGCGATAAATGAACAGTCTCGCCTCGGGCGTGTTGAACGATGAAAAATCGGACGGGAACGTTCGACCGTTCTTGATGTTCTTTGTTCCGCGGATCGGATTTTTCTTTGTAGTCGAGATAATAATTCTCGACCGATCATACCTATTGTTTTCTTCATTTTGTTCTTCTCTTGGTCATTTCGATCAAACGAACAAAGAAGGGGGGGGGGGGGAGGGGTGTTGGAGTAGGAAGCCAATGGACACCCGAGCGTTAGGAATCACTACAAGTACGAATGTTAGTTTTCTCAGTGATCGGCTAGTCGCCGTAATTGCTTACGAACTAAAACGTTCATCGTCGTTAATCGTGTAACGATGAGAAACGGGTAAATTAGTACTGTTTACCGTTTAAACGGCATGCGCGCTCGAAAACGATAACACTGTAAAAACAGAGTCGCAAAAAGTATTCCTGAGATCGTGAAAAAAAAAATTATTTTATCGTTCCCCCTCGAATTTTCTTGGATAGATCGTTAATTTTAAATTGGATATGCTGTAACTTTAATACTACTATTTTTTATATCTAACGCTATATGGAACCTGTGTGTCCTGATCTATGGCAAACTAAATTATCTAATGGAAACGTTTCGGGGTATCGAACGAATAACATCGTGGTGTCGATCGGCCGACATCACCACTGGCTCAGAACCGGTAAAGTCTCGGACTCTGAAATTTAACACAGATCGGTCTTAAAAGTAAAATCACATTACCTTATTACGCAACCCATTATACATACATATTCGTCTACGTCGACTCGTTGATCGCATCGCTCGACCAATGCAACTTTCTGCAAAGTTAATCTTGGTTCGACTTTCAGACCCTTTGCTCGATCGGGCGTCGATCAATTATTTTCTTCCATTTGATAGAGTTTCTTTATGGAATTGATTATTTTCGGGCCTGAAAGAACTCGCGAAGAAAAACGAATCGTGGAAATTTGATCGGATCGTGGGCCGAGGCTGCTGCATCGGGCCAACGGTTGCTTTCGTTAAATATCAGTCACGCGCGAATCGAATATCCGATCGAACCTCGATTTGCGCCTGATTCTTGAGCATCTACGTACAGAGAAATTCACCTATCGATAATACAATCGCGTACCCTTACGATTCAAATACACGTACTTACACGCACACGCGTATGCATACACACAAGCAACGGATTATTTTTTCATTTCAATCCTTTTCATTTATTCGTACAGGTTGATTCGGAGATGAGCAAATGGGAGCGCTTCCTTCCTTTCTCTTACGCGTTCATTCTGCCGCAGTATTTATGTTTACGAGTATGTACTTTGAAAGAGAGATTTGCCCACCTCCGTCGTCCCAAGTTGCAACGAGTCTCATCGACGGTGGTCATCAAATCTGCTCATAAATTCTTAAAAATGTATCGTTGGTTTTGTTCGTAGCGTATTTATAAATTTTCGTCGATGAAACCGTTTATCGCGCTCGGTCGTAACACCGACAGGCACCGTACACAGAAGCGTTTTCTTTTTCTTTAAAACATCATTCTTGCAAGTCCATAGCACATTTCGAACATGTTTTCCATCTTATCACGCATAAAATCGTAACCGTTACCCGGAACGGGATCTTTGACGAACGTTTTAAAAAGAAGAGCTTCTCGTACGAGTCCAAGGAAAGCTCGAGTATTTTTACACAAAAAATGTAGTTTTAAAAGTAAAAGATAAGCTCTCGTCTGACCCATGAACGAAAGGAACTTGAACTCACTGATCGCAAGAATCACTTACAACGATAAAAGGGGAAATATATTTCATGGACGCAAAATCATTTTAATAGAGTAAGCGTATCGATTAATAGCACCGCGCAGTCGGTACAACTAATTAAGTTTCGATAATTCTGTCTATCTAACGATCTATAATCCGACGGGGGAACTAAAATTCACGGAAACCTAGTAACGTGTCGCTGATTCTCGTATATTTGTACAGTCTCAAAAATATAAATAGTTCAACGAGTTTTATCATCATCATCATCATCATCATCATCCTCGTAGTCGTCGTCGTCGTCATCGTCGTCATCATCATCATCACTATCAACGCTTACACACTGGAAATACAAATAATCCGGCAAGGTTTACACATTGCGATTAGGAATTGCCGGCAATAGGAACCATGAAAACAGTATGTTAGATAAACAGCAAGCGCAGGCCAAGTATCAAAGTTAAGGCGTTGTTCGATCAACGATCTTCCGAAAATGTGGAAACTAAAAACTGACTTTGAGAACCGAACGCGATCGTTGCGATCGTTGCGATCGTAACAAAGTACTGAAATTCTGCGCGTCTTGTCATGATTACGTCGTCTTTAAGTCGTCTGCGAGCTTCCTGTCGTATCCCTCTCACATCCATCATCGCCAACAAAACAACAAACTTCTCTTCTTCTAACTGTGAGATCCCTTTTCCAAGTTTCGAAGAGCGGTGTACGGTGTACGGTATACTTAATAGGCACGCGATACAGCGATAAGTTTAGGCGTTTGCGTGTCTCGAAAATAGGCCAATGGATCACGTTACAATTCGCCTCTTGCAACGATGGAAAACAAGAAATGCCAAAAGGTTGAGACATTTTTCGAAAAACTGTTACTCGAATTTGCAAGTAATCGTCACGCATTGTGTCCCCTCTTATGGAACGTATCGTATATGTATTTCGAGTCACTCCGTAGAGAAATCGTGATTGGAAATGAATCGAAAAATAGCCTGCAGACGGAAAGTAAAATTTGTGCACGACTTTATTTAGTTTTGTTCGTGGTAGAGGCAAGCGATTCTATGCTGTTGCTTTACCTTTACGTCGTACACGCGCAATCATGAATGCACAATAGTCTTTTAAAAGTTGAATTTGGCCCCTTTTCTTTGGAAGAAGAAAACTTGGGTTGGATCTCGTGGGAAACTATCACTGGTGTGTACAGTACCAGTGCGCATCGTTTTTCCGTGATCGTTACCCGTTTACGTATCCACGTGTGGTACATACCGATGTTTCGATTGGTTTAGGAAGAGACGAACAAGAGCGAGAAGCGTGCGCGATGGCGGTGTGGTTGCTCGTCAAGATATTAGAACCCGTAAGGAACTAAATTCCAGCTCGGTAAAAGATGGAAGCTCGTTTGGGGTTGCGTAAACTTGTTTGTTTAAAAGAGAGAAGAAAGATGGCCAGCAGCCATACCGGGTAAAATAGGATAAAACGGAGGAGTAGGAGGAGGAGGAGTAGGAGGAGGAGGAGGAGGAGGAGGAGGAGGAGCTTGCCTGCCTGCCTGCCTGCCTGCCTGCCTGCCTAGTTTGATTCGTGATCGAGCAGGCGTTGAGCGTCTCTCCGTTGAGAGAATTAGGCGCGATATGGTATAGTTTAGTTAGAGCACAGGATGGCGCGTGAAACATGAAACACTGGTGGTCTATCTCGACTCGGTCGGACGGGATTTCTCGATGCACCGGTGATTTTCGTTTCCGTCGAGGATGGTTGTCGCGCGACAGTCAGATTCGGATATTGTCTCTCACCGTGGTCACGTGTCCGAGAATAGAAATTCGCTCTCGGATAGCAGTACCTCGAGATCGGAAGGAACGGTATGAATGTCAGAATTTACCGGCTCGGTTAAATCACCGGTACCGTTTCCTATTCCTGTAGGCGCTATTTGCCTGGCTCTGCCGATTCTCACCCTGTCCTTCTTCTTGGTCGTCCTGAGCAAAACGCCTGTCCTCGGAAGTTTCGATCTGCCGTTAACGTGATTCGTGTTTGTCGGCTGAGAAGCAGCCGCAGCAGGAAGCTGAGCCACCTTGTCCGACTTTCGCAGCTTGACGCTGAACTTGAACGGCGGTTTGTAAACTACTTGCAACTTTGCTCTCTCTTTTCGCGGTTTGATGCCAGGCAAAGGCTTCGGTTCGACGGGCCTTCTGACAGCGACGAGCTGTCTGCTCGGCGCCGGTAACCTGTTTCCGACCTGGCCGCTCGTCAGGCCCACGGGAGTGGATTTGCTCTTTGGCAGACCGGTCGTCGTCGCGTTCGTTCTTGTCGTTTCCGGTTGACACTGAGACGAGGCCAGCAACCAAGAACGAACTTTGCTCTTAGGGTCGGCGTTCGGCTCGGGTTCTTTTTCAGCCTGAATAGCCGAATAGTCGATCACTTCTTTCTTCTGTTGCTTCTTGAAACGTTTCCTTTTTTCATTGTCAGCGTTACCACCGGCCATCATCACCACGTTGTTGCCGGAATTTTGTTTATCTCGAGACGGGACAGTCTTTTTTCGTTTGTTCTCTTGAATCACGCCGGTAGTTGGCTCGGCCGACCTCTTCCTGGCAAAGTCCTCGCCGGGATTCGCGGACGTCCTCTTTGCCTGCGTCTGCGTACTAGCTTTCTTCTTGTTATTCTTCTTCTTCTTCGACGCGGCGTCCTTAAATTAAATTCAGAGAGATGAGGATTTTAAAGAGGTGGGCTCGAAGGGTTTCGATTCTTCGAGCAGTTTTAGTCTCCTCTCACCTTGGCAGAGTTATCGTTGTTCCCATGAGGATCTTTATGCTTCCGATGTCTCCTCTTTTCCCTGACTTTTCTGCTAAGCGGAAGCTTGGCGCGCACTGCCGGTGGATGCACCGTGACACCCTCCGTCCCTTCTGGCGGCAGACGTACCGTTTCCGTCGTCGAGCTGTGTATTATCGTGACCGACTTGAGCTTCAGATCCGGTTGCTTGCCCAGTACTCTCATGCTCGCCACCTACGGGGGTACCGGCAGAACGCTCGTCAAATATCGATCACACGCTGTTATATACATATACTATTCCTCGAGGTACAAGGATGCACAAAGGACATTAGCGGCACAACGGTCGATCAAAATAACAACGCGCTACGATGGTCGGAGGGGTAGGAACGTGGTAAAAGAACGTGAACGAAACTAGCGTTTATCGGTAATAGCTGCGATAACCCGTGTCGATGCTGCGAATACACGAATCTACTATTTTTTTCTCTCTCCCTGAACTTACTCTTTACACGTTTCCTCGATCGTTTCTAGCGTAAAAATCGGTTCGATGACAAGATAATCAACTGTACTTGAAAGTATAATAACATGTATAGTATAGAACGAAAATGTTGATAAGAGAAGAAAGGACGCGATACGTACCAATAACGAGACCGCTGCTAAAACGATCAGAGCAGCCGCGTACCAATGGTCGATTATCCAACGACGAAAAATGGCAAGACTCTCGTCGGATAGCAAAAATTTGGTCAAATTCAATAGCGGGCCGCTTGGATCCACCTGCGGGCGGGCGCGTCGCCGATTAAAAAGAAAGAAACACACGATCGGACCATATCCCGTCAAAGATATAATTCTCGTACCTCTCGACACTTTTGTAAAACGTCGCAGTATCCGTTGTAATCGTTACACGGTGTTCCTGGTTTCGAAAACATGTCTGGAATATCGTAGGGCGGAGAGTTCCAGTCAAAGGAGGACCTGTCGATGAAAGACCGTCGATAAAAATTACCGTGCACGGTGATAATAAGGGAAACGTGGACGGGATCTGAGAACGTACAAGCAAGGCTGATTCTCTCCAGGAAGACGACAGCAGAGTTCGCAGGCTTTGGTCGAAGTATCGTTCGGCCCTGGGCTGCACTGGCACGATTCCAAACCGTACGCAAGGCATATGCTACCGGTACATTCCTGCAATATAAGAAAGAAAGAATAGACTTCGAAAACGTGACACGCACGCACTCACGCACTGACTCGTTGCAGAGCACTCACTCCCATAAAGCAGACGAATTCGCGATTGCAGATCGTCTTGTTGGGCTTGTTGATGGAAGGAGGACAGTAGGGTGACCGGCCGTCGCAGAAGCTCGCGTCACGGCATCCATTGTCGTCTCTGCATTTATCGCCGAATCGTAAATTACACTCGGCGGTGCAACACGGACCCTGTAAAAGATGCGTTTATTCGTCGGGTTAACGATACATCTGTCATTAAATTGTTTCTTTGGAAAATTGGTTTTGCATACTTGACTAGGGCTGCATACGGATCCCGGCGTAAGTGTACACGGAGTCTCACCCGCCGGTGGATATCGACGTTGCGGAAAACAACACGAGTCCCTGCAATCTTCTTCCCATCCGCAGTCGCATTCTTCGTCCTCCTCGACTACGCCGTTCCCACACAACGACACTTGCGGCTCTGTCGACACACGCGATCGTAATGCTTTAACGATAGTTTGTTTCAAACTATAATTCGTCAAGTGCTCGAGATAGCAGAGTGTTGAAAAAGGAAACCGATACGGATACGTTCGAGAAAAATAACGATGAAAAGACTAACCGCTGAAGCAGCCCTTTGGCGAACGAGCTTTGCTGTTCAAAACCGGGTTTATGGCAGTCAAGCTGCAGGGGCTGAAACGATTATTGTTACGCTTGTCGCCGCTGGTAGCACGAGCGAACATAATGAAGTTTCCATCCTCTCCGCCGGGCGTGCATTGTTCCGGATCGTGCTGGAACAAAGTAAAGTGCCAGTTTCTGTTACTCGCGTATCGACAGAACGTCGGAACAGAAGAGAACAGGTGTTTGCGTCCAACTCGCGTCTGAAAAAACGCAAACACCTGTCGCGTCGTGCCAGTGTCTCCGTTTCATCGAGGGTAAAAATAGCGTGCGTGCGTGCATGCGTGCATGCGTGCGTGTGTATGCTCGTGCATGGCTGCGTTTGGTATAATTAAAGGCAACCTTACCGGTGAACCAAAGTTATGACCGATCTCGTGGGCCAACGTGACGTGAGAAACTGCAGGCGGTACGTGCTTGCCGTAATTCAGCAGAGTGACTATTCCCGTGTTGAGCGACTTCATACTGCCACGATAGTGCTGTAAAGTTTTAAATCGTACGTTTCAGACGTTTCTCCCGTTCTTAATTCGTCCGATAACGGAGAAGGTTGGAATACTTTGCATATTTTAAGACTCGTTGCCGGTTCGAATACCGATTCTTCTCTTTCTCGGCTGTACGAGAAACGAACCGATCGAATCGTTTATAATCCAGTTAGTATCCGCAAACTGGATCTTAAAGTGGCATAAAAGAAAAAGAAAAAAATAAAAAAATCCACGTACATGGAACAAGGAAGACCATAAAGTTTTAAGGCAATAAACAAACTATATTGGACCTAGGTCTGTACGCGTAAACTGGCATATCCGATCAACGTCGAGTAAGAACCGGTGTTGGATGTCTCCGAGGGTCTCGGATCGGTAAAGGGTTTAGTATTATATTAAAAGTAACTTGCGCCGTTCTTTTCGCAAACACCGCCAGCGTTCTTCAAATCACCGGTCCATGCGAGGCCCAACGTTCCCATCTCAAAGTCCCTGTACGTGAACATGTAAGCCAAGCAGAACGCGTCGTAATCCTCCTCTGGAACCAACAAACCAACGAACCAACGGACGGACGTTTGTAATTGCTCGAGGATCGAATTCTATATAGACTGTTCGCGAAACACAGTCACGAAAGGATTTATTTACCGGAGAAGAGCTCCAGATACTTTTCCACGCCGTAGTTGCCCGGGAATCGATAATTTGGATCTCTGAGCGCGTCCTCGCTGTGAACTTTGACGCGTTTTATCATGAAACTGATGTTGTCCGGTCTTCCATCTTGATTGAAATCTAGTAACAAAAACGACTCGACGTTTCTAATCCGAATAACCCAAAACACGATCAAATACACGATTAAATATTTCCAACGTATTAGTAAAGTCGACGAAGGAATTATTGTCCAACGCGACAAAACCGTACCGGTGTGCTTGTAAATGGAGTTGACCCTCTGCACGTGTCTCGTCATCACCTCGATGCAAGCCTCCTCCGTGCCGTATCGTGCGAAAAACTGATGATCCGCTTGCAAGTAGAGCATGCAGGTAGTTTTCCGCGGATCCACGGTGGCACGTTTGTGCAAATGTCTCGCGATGCGATCTCCGTTGCTCGTTCTGGAACGAAGCGGCGGTAGTTGCAAATTTCTTACGCCCTCTCCACCCTTTGGAATAAAAAGCTTATTCCGCTACGGCTACGGCTACGGCTACTACTACTACTACTACTACTGCTACTACTACACGCCCGAGGAACTTTCGTTTCGCGATTTTTCGGATTCCGTGAAACGAAACGCCTCGCGCTCGCTACCGTCTGAGCGATTTTCCTGATTTTGCTCCTTTCGTACAAACTCACGTTTCCGTACGTGCCGCGGCGTTATCCTTCTTCAAAGTTAAAACTCGTGCACTGTTTTCCCTCGAGTAGAGAGCAACGTTTTCGCCGAGCAGCGGTTCGTAAAACGTCCGGGAATCGTTCTCCTGGCTCTTTTCTCTGAAAACATCAAGTATTTCACGGCCAATAGGCGATTTACGCTCGCCTCGAAATACCGAGCAAATAATTATTTCAAATCCGAATCGATCGGATCGATCGGGTCGATCGGGTCGATCTTTTTTTTTATTAAATTTGTTGGATCGTTGGTAACTCGATTTACTCACCTGAGTAGAGATCCGGCAACGGTTTCGCGATGCAACCGATGACTGGCGCAAGGCAAGGAACGCTGCGGCGTCAACACGTCCGATGCGCGATAAGCTATGCTGTGGTACGGCGGTGACGTATCCTCGCCTGTGTTCAAGTATCTACTCGTAGGTTCGATGTAATACTCCTCGAATGCTGTGACGACGGTGCCGTCGAAGAGACCGTCCTCCGTCACGATGCCCTGCACCAGGGTGTTCTCGTCTTCTGCGAATCCCAACAAACAACAAATTTACCCTTTACCAATCTTTACGTTATACATACATACGCGTACTAGCTTCGAGTGCCTCGGGGAACAAGGTTCCTATATTTTCCACGCTTCGACAAAGAGAGCGTACGGTATTATAGAAACGATTAGTTTCTATCGGTTGGTCGTTCTTGTAACGTTAAAAATACATTTTAGTTGTCTGCGTGGCTAGATCAAAACGGTTGCTCGATTCCGAAAATTGTCTCTGTCGGTGAGAAGAGGAGACGCGTAAGAAGAACGAAGGGACGCGCGCACCACGATCAACCAAGGTATTCTCCCATTTCCGTCATAGACGTCCTCGTCTTGCTCGGGAATTACATCGTTTCGACGATTCTGATAATTTCCGGGCCGCGTAGCTACATACTACCAGGCCCTTCGAGGAGCTTAGAAACTGGGTTAGGTCCTGGAGAATCGTGCAAAGCGGCGCGCGCGATTGCGTTGAAACGAAAGTCGAAACGAAAGTCGAAACGGAAGCACGTGCGTTCGTTCGGTGGGCGCGATGCACGCGGTGCACCCGCAGACTCGACATAATTCACCGTAATTGCTCGCTTCTTCCGTTTTTCTTTTACCCGTTGCCGTTTGCGCGCGCTTTCCTCCAAAAGTAATTACCTCGGTGTTCGTTCGTAATTAATCGAACGAGATACACGCCACGGCGGAATGCCTTTCGTTTAACATTTTTCTTTTCCTAAACGATCCATGGCGCGCAAACAACAACCAACCTCGCAACACCGTTTAGCCGAGTAATTGTCGATTACGCGAATAAAAGGCGGAGCTGGGGGCTGGATGGTAAATTCGTTCGAGCGAAACACGCTTCCGATGGAACGAAGAACGAGCGAATTATCGAAAGGCTTTTCCCTGCAATTAAGTGTTTTAAATCCCTCGATGGAAATCGCAGAGAGGGGTAAATTCATCCCTCGTGCTAATCGATACCCTCCGACAAAGGAAACGATCCAACAAAGGGTTCTTCGGCTCAAACGATCTACCCCTTGATGCGGAATTACGGACGGATGAAATTACCATTTAAGCGGGAATTGAAAATTTCGCCACGAATTCGCCGACGATTCGGCAACGAGAGAAAGAGAGCGAGGCGAGGCGAGGCGAGGCACGCACGCGCCGGCCAGTCGTTGTCTCGCGATACGTTCGGACTACATTTCTACCGTACAACTTTTCTAATTAGAAAAAACGTGAAACATCCATGGCGATTCCAATACCAAACTTTGATCGTTTCTTTATTTCGGTATATGTACCGCGTAACCCGTTTAAAAGAAAAATCACGCGCACGAAACAGTTTATGCGACGGCATGGCATCTATGATCGGACTACTCGGTTTACACACGATAGATACCACCCCCGTTTCCATGATAAAAGATGACAGGATAACTACGAGACGATACCCAGACCTAATAGCGGTGCGGCGTACGCGAACGATTCGCCGAGACTAGAAGAAAATCAAACGGTCCCGTCGATTGGTTGGCTCTCGACTTTGAAATTTTCTGCAGCAGCTTGAGCACGAATCGTCGCGACGATTCGAGAATCGGTCTGATCGACGCGTGCTTCGATAAGGTCACCGATGTTCGTGCCTCTCTCGCGGTCCTTGGATACTTTCTATTCGCGTAGCTGCGAACGAGAAATAGCTAGCAAATTCGAGAAGCGGACCGAATTACAATTTATTCCGTGATCGAACCACCTTCCGTTTACTTTTTTTCTCCATCGTTCCAACTCGGAAACGAATACCAAGAGAAACAACTCGACTCTAGTTTGTTTCGTCGTGGAAAGCACGAGAATACGAACAAAACTCGTCGATATTGCGGTATGGCGGTATGGCGGTATGGCGATATGGCGATATGGCGGATAATCGACGAGAGAACGGAGACAGTGCGCAGGATGCGCAGTCGTGGACGAGGAAAGCGAGAAACTAACCGTTTCAAGGATAACCACTCGAATCGGACATCCTTAGAGAAAACATTCCTTTTCGTCACGATATCTCGCTGAATGGATGAATGGATGGATGGACGGACGGACGTTTAGAATTTCTGCTTGTTTTCGTTAGCGGCTGAATCACCATCAAGCTCTAGCAACGTAATTGGCGGAAATCGATCCTTTTAATTCGGTTCGACTCGGAAAGAGAACCCGAGCGAGCAAAAAGAGAAACGGGAACAATGAACGAGGAAAAGGAGAGCTTTGCCTTAGCTCGCTATTCGATATTATATTTTGCGAGAGAAACGGGCGGGGCTTTCGAGAATCGTTTCTCGTTTTCTTTTGTCGGAAATTCGGCTCCTGCAAGCTCGGTGTCGGGAGCTGACCAATTTCCATCTGCTCGGTTTATACTACCAATCAAAGATGAGACACCTTTAATCCGAACATGTATTTTTCCTGCTGCGAGCGATTAATCTTCAGACTCTCCGAAGAATAATCCATAATCATCTTCTTTCTTGTCCGATTAAAAACCTAAGAAATATTCCATTTTTATGGGTAAATAATTAAATATCGGGCCGGAGAATCCTGGTTTAATTTCATTTGATTCGGTGTGATCGACGAAGAGCGAGTCCGCGACGAGTCGTCGACGGTAGAAAATTAATCGAAGAAAGGAAGAAAAGAATAATTCGGAGAGTACGGAACAAGTAAGTATACAAGAGAGACAGCACGGAGAAAAAAGTCCAAGAAAAGAAACGAGCAACGCGATAAAAGTTAGCGCGAGGAGAGCAAGAGCTTTCGACAACCGACCGGCCGTTTTACGGAGAAAAGCTCTGACGCTCGTTAGTGGAAAAATCCAATTTAATCGGTGAACGGTTAGCGGGCCGGACCATTCGCTCGCACGCGAAATCGACAAATCGGCAAATCGCGAGACTTTGACAATATGCGAGAATACCTCCAACAAACTTCTTTTCCATCGATTAATAATCCAATTACACCCAATCGGCGGCACATTGATTCGAATCATCGTTACGCACAATTTTCACGCGTTCATCGACTACGTTTCAAAACGGTCCCTGCTCTCGTTCGCGATTCTTTTTAATTACAGGCAACCCCCTCGACGTTAATTAATTCTATCGCTCGACGAATGTATCGTCGAAACGCGTCGCGTTTTAACGAGTAACGTTGCTTCTCTTTTTGCCTGCCTGCCTGCCTGCCTGCCTACCTGCCTGTTCCTTGGACACCCGATTCTCGTGTCGTGCAATTAACGGGACATGGAAAGTAATCGACGCACGAGTTTAGTTTGCGCGCGATTTCTGCCGGATATTTTTCTCTCATCTTGCCAAGGAAACGCGAAGAGGATTGGAACCGTAACTGTAGCGATCTTGGTGCTTGATTCTCGGCGCTACGCGGTCGCTGCATCGCTCGATTATCATAGCCGAAATCATCAACGAGTAATCGAAGAGAAAGCAAGTTTACGAATAGTGCTCGGGACCAAAAGGATTCGTTTGTTCGGTGAGAAACGAGACATTAAGAATACGATTCAACAAGTTACGCGTAAACTGCTGATACTTTGTTGTACGAGTGCGGTGTCGCATGGCGTCGCGTAGCGTCGCGTAGCGTCGCGATTATTAAGGCAATAACGGCGTTTCCAGGCACTCTGAGAGAAACGTCGATCGTGACGTTGACGTCGAGACGTCGCGACGCGTCGCGGTGCTCGCTATCGAGTTTCGAGCGCCGGTGAGGTTGCGGTTAGACCAGTTCCAACTGATTCGGTACACGAAATTCTATTGCGGACTTATCGTATCTGCTTACTCGAGGGTTCCTGGTGCGACAGTAACGTTCCCGTAGAACCAGATAGCTTGGTATTGGTCGCGGCATAGTAACGTCGTTCACTGGCGAGCCAACGAAATTTCCCGATCCCCTAACGTATCGTTACACTCTTTTCCGCATCGATTATTCCCAATAATACTAACCTATGCTTCGTTCCAAGGATCGTAGAAAAGAAACGCGAGCGTTAGTCGATGCTGTTGCTTCTCGGTCCGAGAAAACATCTCGACGATCGAAAAACAAGCATCGACCGACTGGCTGGGTAAAGAGTCTCGGTTGCGCGTATAGCTACATACATACATATGTATATCAGACGCGTCGATCGTTCGAGATACCTTGGTCGAGACCTTTTGCTCGTACACATTCGATGAGGTGTTTGGCGCGCTTCCAAACGATCGCGTCTGCAAAGATGAGATTCCTGGGTTAGGTTGGATTCGCGACGTCGCCGAACGCGCCAACGACACGAATAACGGTATACGCATCCTTCCGTCGAGGCACTCTCGTCTATTTGTCGTTCCTTTCGGATCCCATTTACTTTCAGTGGCCAGTCGCCGCGCGATCTATGAAAATACTTTGCCTTGCGTCGCGTCACGTCACGTCGCGTCGTTTCGAACGGCCGCCAGAACCTTATCCGGATCGAAATTCTCGACAACGGACGATCGCGCGAGCGCTCCTTGAGACGAAACTCGAAAATTCACTCTGGCTAGATCGCTGTTGGAAAATGCGGCCGTTCGAAACCAGGATCCTTTCAAAGGAATATCGACGCGGCCGTGTGTTTGTGCGCGGCTTTGCGGTCAACGTGCTTTGCGATCTATCGCGCGTTCCTTTATACGATATGTACATACATATGTATATTAAAAGCAAAGGGTCCATTTTTAAATTTCATCCCTCCATTTTCGCTTCTAAAGATATAAGAACAAAATCCTTGTTTTTCAACGCTGAAACGCATTTCTTATCGACAGAAAATAATCGATTCGAAATGATATTTACAAAGATGCGAGCAACGAGTTTTCTCCAAGACCGAGTCGATTAATTTCTATAGGCGAATGGTTCTCGTGTTAGGGCGGAACACGCGTACACGAAAAATGAAACAACTCACCCAACACGGTGCCCGCGTAAGTGTGCGACGCGTCGAAGAAGATCGGTCCATCGGTGTTCTCGAACGTCGCGTCTTTGCTAAACAATCCCATGTCTCGAATCAGACGTAACGTCCACTGTCTGAAACAACAATACAGCTTGTCAAAAAAGACCGCGATTTTGCGTTGCCATGAGCGCAAACGTCGATAATTGGACGATAGAACAGAGGAAGAGGGTAAATAGTAGTAAAAGTAGATGAGATGTACGATCAGACCTTACAATCTGACTGTCAGACCGATCTTCTCATGGATGGCGATCGGTTGACAAACTATTCGCTCAATTAGTATTGATGTCAATTGACTATGGGAGGGATTGAAAAAGGGAAACCGCCACTCCACTTACACTTGACGTCCTCCTATCGCGAAAGATAAGTTTCGTTTTTCTGTTCGGTCTTTATCAGAAAATTTCACCGTTTCTGCAAATGCCGTATTTGATCCTGTCCGATCGGAATGGAATCAACGTTTTATGCACGAACGTGATCGCGACCGCTGTTATCGGTTTCTCGACAAATTCGCGAGAAAAGGATAATAAATCGCAAAAGAAGCATCATCGATAGTGTAGGGGTTAATGGATGGAAAAATGAAGAAATGAAGAAATGAAGAAATGATGCGTTAAAAGGAAGGCGGTGTTGTTGATGATTCAGCGATTTCTCGGCGATCACGCGGACGAACGATAAGTTCTCGTGGCGATTAGATGTTTTCTCGAAAGTCAGCACAGCGTGACGTAGAGTCGAAGGCTTCGTTAAGTCGAAGGACGAAACCAAGCAAACGACAACGTTAGCGGCGGATCAACGTCGTTCGAACGTCGGCAATTAAATTTAGAAACGTGAAAGGATTCGAACGTCCGCGTCCGTGTTCGCGTTTGCGTTTGCGTCCGCGGTCCACGGTCCGTGGCGTGACATTGAAACGCGGATCGGCCGAGCCGAGCACCGTATAATCCCGGATTCGAGAGTAAATGGATTAGGTTTAATTAAATTCGCGGTAGCCAGATTACGAGGATTATTCGAACCGTGAACAAAATATTCTAGCTTCGTCGAGCCGTGCGACGAATCTCTAGGCTGTCCGTGTTCGAGGAACGAACAACCGGATAAATTTTCGTTCGAATCGTCGAAAGAGTAAAATCGATAATTAGGTGGGAAATTGTCGACCAACGTTGTACGGGGAATGAAAGCGATCGGCTCTCAGCGAAACGGCCGCCTTCGTCGTCGTCGTCATCTCTGGATCCTTTGTTTCGCGGAAAGAATCGAATACGACGCATTACCGCGAAGAAACGAGAAGCGAACAACGGGGCCGAGATCGCGCAAACCATCGACGGAAAAATGGCAATTAGTCGCTTCTACCTTGTACCGCTCTCTCGATAGACCGTGGTTTTACGAGACAATTACGGTGTGGTGGGCCTAGTTTTCTCATTGCTTCGCGAAAACGATCGTTCCTTCTTTCTTAAAATTAGTCCGGTTAAAACTAGCAAGACGCTATTTCAGAACCGTTGGTTCTACCTGGTTATTCCTGTAACTCTCGACGCGACCCACAGAATGAAAGATCATAACCGATTGCAAGCCAGAGCCGAAAGGCGTCCAACGAAAGCAATATTTCCATAGCTATGCACATCGGGTACTCGAATTACACAAGCTCGACGAAAATCGATTGTTAATAGCGTGGCCTCGCTCGCTGCTATTACGACGCGTTCGGATGCGCTGTAAAAATGGGAAAAAATTCCAAGGGAAAACCAGTTGGGAACGTAGCGAAGAAAACGCGATTATTAACGTACGTAACTAAACGCGCGGACGGTCGAGAAAAATGATTGCCCGATACGCGCCGCTGGCTGGCCACGTACGGACGATAAACACTATGGAGGAAATATCGAAACAGGACCCTGTTCCTCGAGAAAGGAAGTCCGGTGGTGACCGGAAGCGTGTTATAAAGCGAGGAAACGCACCGATAAATTGTAATTGTTCCTACGGCACGAGTTACGGGGGGGTTGGATCGGCTCGACGGATTAAAAAGACTGCTAATTTCGAACGAATCGGTTATAAAAGTGGAGAGAAACGCGAGTGAAAAGACAAAGAAGACCGGGCTTTGATTAAACTCGAAAGCGAAGAAAATCCGATGAAAAATTTTCTTCGAGATTGATTTTACTCTTCGAGTTTTCGGCGTTGTCTACCTTGACGCGAAATCGATGATCGTTGGCGTACTATGCTTTTCCGTGCAACGGGCAAACCCTTGATAAATATTTATTTTCCAGCTGGTACGGAAAAGACATATCGCACGGAACAATATAAAATAGATGACCAGACGCGGTGGCACTTTTCTCTCCGTTGGCCATTATGTTTGCTAGTTGGTGGCGCAGGTGCAGCGGGCTGCAAAACACCGATCGGAAACAGGATCGGAAACAGGAACAGGAACGGGAACGGGAACGGGAAAGGGAAAAAGGGCCAAGCTAGAAAGAGAGAAGAGAGAGGAGAGGAGAAACGGTCGAGGATGGAGAAGCAAAGAGCGAGCGTCGTATCGGTGCGGGGCGGCGACCGGCGACCGGCAACCGGCGACCGGCGACCAGCGACCGGCGACCGACGACCGGCGACCGACGACCGGCGACCGAGTGCTGCTTTACATTTTATTGGTTGCCGTGAATTCGACCGATTTCCATAAAGAGAGGAACGTGAGCGGTAACGCTCTCGGCGCGGCAAAGACGGAGTCGAGGATCGAAGAGGTTGAGGAATGGAGGAATTCGCGGTAGCGAAGGAAGGCGAGTAAATTGTCGCGGCGTTAGGCGGCTGCGCGGAGCCCAGGCCCAGGGTTTCCCCGTACGCGACGACGAATTTCCGGCACGCGGATTATAGGAAATTGAAACGCGACGTATCGTACCGTCGATCGACGCGTCCGAATACACACAGGCGTTCGTTCCTCTGTTCCACCGCCTATTGCAATTCCCTTTTTTTTCGGCTCGTTAAACGACCCCGGCATGGCATATTCGGTCCAGTAGTCGGTTACAATGTCTAACGTTTAATAATTGGTTCTAAACTATCCAAGAACAGACGATCGCGTCTAAAATGTTTGACGGTTCGATGAAAAATAAAATGGATAATTAGAGGATATATCCCGGTACGCTGGCTATTCTCTTGGAAAAGGAAAGGAAAGGAAAGGAAAGGAAAGGAAAGACAGCGAATAACGCGTTTCGCGGTGGCGCGCGGATGGCATGGCGCGGCGTTGTGCCGAAAATTGATATTGTCTGTAATTCCGCGCAATGAATTTCATTTAAGGGTAAATTCCGAGGGGCAAATATAAGGTAATTTTGTGGAAACAGAGAGAATCGTATTATCTCGGCGGTATATCGGTTTCAAATGTCAGGAAAGCTTTGTTTCCCAGCTTGATATAGCGCCAAGTATCCTGTGTAACTCCGTTAATCTACTCGTGCATTCACGCCCTTTTGCGCCTGCAACAGACACGTACACACACATGGTGCGGGTTCTACACGAACTTGACCTTAATTGGATCTAGGCCTATTGACCTAACCGGACAATGCTACCGATACGATTACGGCAACTCCGATACACCGCCGTAATCGACAACCTAGCAAACATCCAACACCATGGATTCGGTATTTCTAACGCGCGACCAATCCTCGTCCCGTTTCTTTTCTCTTTTCCCAATTCGCCTGCTCGACGAAACGATAAAGAGATTTTCCGTAAAACGAAGGAGGCGCGAAAATCGAGAAACTCGACGCGTCTCACGACCCAAGAGCATTTATCGGGGCTATCCGTAATAGGAATGGTAACCATTCGTAAATACCGACGGCCCGCCCCGTCTATCTCTAGATTCAGGATACCATGTAAGTACCGGGTTTCTTGTGCAATTAAATATGAACAGGAACGAGTATACCGAAAGAAAGAGAGTCCTCGATGAGTAGTTTGCTCGAGGATTCGTTAAACGATCGTTTATTGGCCGATTTGGTTCGTCGTGCAATTTCCCCGAGGAAAAGAAAAACTTTTACTAGGGAGTACTCACTTGTCGAGCGTTTTCAGGTGCAGCAGCAGAGGTTGATCGTCGACGACGTTGCTGAGATCGCGACGCATCCGGTTACGATGTTGTCTCAAGGCCGCGGTATCGTAAGAGGCCATCTCGTAATACCCGATGTACGAGCCGTGAGTGATACCTGAAACATCGTTCCAGTACGATCTATATGTGTAACACGTATCGTTTCGTTAACGAACAAACGCTGAAAAGATCCAAGGACCTTAGCGTCCAGCGTATTACTTATCAGCTGCCCCCGGCAGAGCGAGCAAAACCCGCATCGAATGGCCCGTGCCGCGATCTAATTATTTCACCAAGATCCGCGCTGATTTCTCGATTTACAGCATGTATCGGAACGAGACAAGGAGATCGCTACCGCTTTTTCTCTATGTATAGTAGCCAGACTTAACCCCGCTGCCATCGAGCAGGCAACGAGAGTCCAACGATCGCAAAGTAACAACAAGTAGATTGTAATTTTCCTTTACGAAGGCCGATCGTAAGAATAATTTTTTGTTGCAAGGACTAATTAGAAAGTTAAATCGTCTCGTGATCGTCGTTGGACGTCAACGAGCAAATAAAGAAAGGGAGCGTGTGTCTATCGTCGCGTACTTGTAATTAAAGTATATCGGGATTCGATAAGTTTTCGGATAAGTCTCGGATCGAGAATATGCACCCGTAGGAGAATAAAAACGCGGCACCTCGTGGCACCTCGTGGCATATCGTGGCATATCGTGGCATATCGTGGGGGTTGGTTACGCAACACCGTCCAATAATCTGATTACCTCGAGTCGTTATCGATGCGTTGTCCCGCGGCAAGGTTGCATCGCGAGCATGCGACCGCATCCCCACGACCGGGCACTTTGTATCGAGAATCGGTATCGTGGTTGCCCGATATGCAACGACGTGACGGTTACGGTGTCCTTAGTTGGATGTTAGGTAGCCCGCGGCGCGTAACGTTATCGAGCTATTCGGCTGCGATTTGTTCCGAAAGAAAACCTCTCCGCTCTCAAAGTATGTTAATTATTGACCGAGCGATCGAAATCGGCAGTAGTTTCTATGAAATCGAGGCTGACTGACCTGTGTGCGGTGGCAGGGAATTAAGAGGCGAAGCATCGACAACGGTGAAAAGGCAACCGAGCACCAGGAACAAAATCAGGGCTCTTCCGAACGGATAATCTCCCTTGGACGTCGAGGGGTACATTGCACCCCTCTGGGCCTCACTGTGCCCTTTGCTAGCCCCCTCCGCCTCCTCCTCCTCCTCCTCTTCGTCGTCTGCCCCTTCTCCGTCGATGGCCAGGGCCGTGGCAAGCATCGGCTCGACGTTCTCCGGCCCAGCAACAACTAATACCGCTATCTGCCTTTCCTCGAACAGCCGACCACCGCGCTCTCAGAGTCACCCGTCAGATTCATCACTGTTTCTCGCTTCTACGCTTTTTTCTTCCCTTCCCCCCTACCCCCTCCCTCTCTCTCTCTCTCTCTCTCTCTCTCTCTCTCTCTCTCTCTCTCTCCTCTTTACGCCTGCCCTCTTATCCTCCTCCAACGAGACGCGATATTCCGCTACCTTCTCTTTCTCTTTTTCTTCTCGATAATATGCTCAACCTTTCGATCCTACCTCGCTTTCGCTATATTTTTTTCCCTTTTTCTCTTTTTTTCTTTTTTTCTTCCTCCGGTCCTATCCGCTTCTTTCTTCTCCTCCGCCGCCGATCGATTTTCTACCTCCTGAAACTAATAACAGACAATTAACGGGGAAAATTTCGCCTTTTCCGTTGGACGCGCGTTGCTCCGATCTTTTTACTTTGCCAGAGTTCAGTTACGATTACCGTCGCCTAGCGTCGGTCATTTTGCGCGAAATGTTTCCGGTTGGAAAAACTAGGGAAAAACTGTACGTATATCCAGGTTGTCCAACGTCTAACCAAAACTAACAGTTCTCAACTATCCACCTTCTCGTAGTGTTCTTTGCTTCGTTCTATCGTTAGAATGCAACGACGGTACGTACCTACTTACACGTTGGAATAATACGCGTGCTGGGGAATCGAATGCTTTCTTCGAACAAACTACGAAGCTTCGCGCGTTAAATATTTATTTTTCGATAAACGTATCTGGTTGCGTGAAAAATATCGTCTGGTACAGTATTTCGAAAAAGAACGTCCTTTCCAACTGCTTAATTACGAATAAACATCGATAAACGATCCACGAATCAACGACACGAACGTGTTTTAAATGATTTAATTTTGGAAAATCGGTTGTACGCCGCGATGAGTTAAACGCGATTCTCGAGGTACGTTTAGGTCGAAAAGTAGTAATCGAAAACGCAACGGGATCTGCATAAAAACTAGATCACCGTTTAATTCGCGAATCTGTTTTCAGTTTCTTCGCGTATCGCTGCTGATCGTTGAAACTCAGCCTACCGTGCGATCGCTCCGCGTAATATTTACAAAGATTCGCTTTTTATTCGGTATAATTCTACGCGCGGCAACTGTATCTAACGTCTGTCTACTTGGCGTTTGCAATTTTCTGGCGGGAAAACGCATCGAGCTCGTTGGACGAAAAAGTTTTAAGTCTCGGAACCAACGACGTTTTCAGCGGCATTTTCTAAAATTGTCTTGCGCGAGGCGACGCGACGCGACGCGAGGCGAGGCGACGATCTAGGAATTATAATCGGCCCGCGTACATACGAATCCGGCTTTCTGTCCTCTTGCTCCGTTCTCTGTACAGTGTTTGGCGATACCAAGCCTCCGTGGCCTCCGCGCTTTGCTCGATCAAATATTTAATACGCGACGCACGTTCGTAACGGCCAGTATTAATTGGCGTTAAGATGCGCTCCGATTTGACGGAGGGAGACGAACTCGGAGAGCTCCAGCACCACGAAACAAGAGAAAACCACAGAAAGCACGGAAAACGCGATGGCTGGAGCAACGTCGGCGTAGATAGATAATCGCGAGTTGAGCTCGTCTTTTCCATCGAGCGCGCCTCGTTGAACCGTTACCCCTTAACGCACCAGCGAAACACGTTTTGCGTAATGTCCTCCGAGTTCATCGGACACTAGCCGACGCGACGCGACAGCCACACTCGCGATCACGCCGGCCTCAACTTCCAATCCGATCAATTATCCGATTACTATAATAAATGCGAAAAAAACGATGGCTAACGCCAAATTAACCAGTCACGCTGCCAGGCTTGATCAAAACCTTCAACACGCGTATCAATTAATCCTTCGTCCGTCGTTTACAACCAGACACAATAAACGTTGCATTGAAATTTTAGTATTCGGTTCTTAACATCCCTACTTATTAATCGGTATCGGTGGTAAAATTTTCATATTTTACGTCGGCATTGCTATTCCAATCGTTGCATCGACCTAATATTTTTAACCAATCCGACCAAAGATACGATATCAACGAGACGTTACAACGATATTCCGTAAGCGAATCTTACCATGGTAATCACCGTCGATCGGAGAATAATACAGACTTTCGAGCCTGAAAGCAACTTTTCCATTTATTTTATTCAAACTTTCACGCGGACAAGCATCCTTATGCAACGTTCGTTGTACGCGGCAACTCGATATCCGGTATCGGCGTTTAACGTTCGCTTTTTCCCGTTAAACGACAATTAAACTCTCGCTCCAACTTGTACAATTTCCAGCAACAGATAACCACCGCGATCCGTTTCACTCTGACCCTCTTCTCGCCTCTTTCTCAAATTTCTTTTGCTCGACGAACCTTTTACCAGCGAACATGTATCGAAAAGACCTAACAACTAACAACGCAAGTATAATCGCGCGTGTTCTCTCGAAAAGTCAACGTCCGGGGAAGCCAGTTTGGTCGTTGGTCCCGTTGCCGCACGGGCGTGTTTTACGCGACGCGACGTTTAAATCTCCCATCGCGCGCATCCAGTCCTACGCGACGCTACGCGCACCGGTATACATATGTTCAGTCACCCAAATATCCAAGTAGACGCTCGTATGTATCTACCAAACAATATTTCGAGCAGTTTGACGCGTCGCGAGATGCAGGATGTTTCCAATACCAAGGATGCCTTTAAACACCGCCAACACGACACATTTTTTATGTTCAATTTACACCGACGAGTCGCAGAAAACAAAAGGACCCATGTGCGCGGAATGCTTGTCCCTTGGTTCGGTGCGCCAAACACGCCAGGTTAACCTCTGCGTAGGTACATGCTCGTTGGAAATTCGGCCAAACTTTATTCAATTCAACGACTCTCGATCCGTATATGTATATAAAACGGTCATTTCTCTCTCGATTACGGAACGACTTTATCTCGTATCCACTCCATACCAAATATGTACGCAACGCGAAAACGCCTATGTATTTGTTCGCGTTTAAACGTTACGATAGAATAGCGCGCAAGTTCCCTTTATGTTGTTTCCGAGAGCGAGCAGAAGAAAGGCGTAGGCGTCCGGTAAATCGACCCTTTTTTTCAACCGTTTCGAGCGTGTTGAGCGACTCGCTGAATGATGCATCGGTGAAAACGCACCCTAAGGTGACTCGACGATTGCCCGGAGAGAGAGAGAGAGAGAGAGAGAGAGAGAGAGAGAGGAGAGAGGAGAGAGAGAGAAATCTGGCATCGTTCTCGGACGACTTACCATTCCCTTGGACAGGTATACAGTACATACGTGCGGGAGAATGTATATGTATATGTATATTATAGAATAGGGACGTAGGAGGAACGCGCACGAGAGAAAAAAAGACAGGCGAGTAAGTTGGTGTTTGGTCGCGCAAACATTGACGACTAGAAACGAGACGTAGGAAATAGAAGAGAAATTTCCAGGTAGAATATTGCGCGTGCTCGCTGGCTCTGGCATACTATCCGACACCTACCTATAGTACCTATGCACAGCGGCTCGATCCTGCCACGGGCTGGCGTCCTTTCCGCCGGGATTCTCGTCCTTCCGACCGGTTCTCGGTCGATTACTCATTCGTGCGGTCGTTGTACCGCATTTCTGTCGCACCGCACAAACTATTCACAATATCGCACACGCGTGTCGCGCACCGTCTTCCCTCTAAAAGGGTTGAACAAAGAAGTAATTGATAGCAGAGGGACGGACGGGCCGAGACGGAGAGCGAAAAAGAGACCACACGCGATACGCAACTATGAAAAACCGACGCGACAGAGACGCGTTCCGCATCGCACTGACGAGAGCACTCGTGCTCGCGCGAACCAACACTCCGAGGACAACGACTTCCCCCACTACTCTCCCCTTCGACCCAGCTGTGCTGCACCTCCGCCCCCTCACTTCCGACGCTTAACGAACTCTCCTTCTTTCTCTCTTCTTATCGACTAGCTAACGCGTTGTTGTTCCTCTCTCGGTGATCTCTTACCCGCCTCTGTACGCGTACCGACCGACGCGGACCGACGCTTTCCAATACTGGCACGATGTATGCTGTATGTACCATCGAGTCCCACCACCGACGCCAACCTCCCACTTTTCACCAGCGTGTGTCCAACTGCCACCTCCGTGCCACCTCCGTGCCACCTCCGTGCAACTTAACCTTAGCCGTCGAGTCGGTCCAAGGGAAGGTGCGTTCCCCAAACGGAACCACGATCCAACACTTTACTATCCTAGTAATCTTCTATCGTTATCGATACATCGGAAATCGAACGTTTACTTTTCTTTCCTTTCCCTCTATAAAACTCTTTTATTTCGACGCGGGCTCAATCTTCGCCACCATTGGACAAGATGGATCGCGAATCAATTATCTCGTACGATTTTCTCTGGAAATTACCAAATACATAAGTAGAATAAAAATGCATGCCCATCGATCGTAGACAACGTTTGTCGTAGCGAAACAGTTGATCGCGACCGGTTCGCGAATAAACGCGAATAAAGAACGAGAAGAAAACCCGCAATATTAACACCTTATTCTATAATCGTGTCACGTTTGCCTCTTAACCATCCCATCTTCATTTTATTTTCCCAAACATCCTACGCATAAAACGAACTTTTACTCTTATTTCGTACAATCGCACGAGTATTCTTCCCACTTTTTACATCGATATTTTATTTCTTTCCTTGCCGTGTATAAATTTTATAGAAAAAACCCTTCGATTCGCGAATAAACAAGTAACGTGCATACGATCGCAGACGAGGTATCTCGAGCAGGAACGTTAAACTCGGTAGTCGTGGTATCGCACGTGATACGAATCGACCACGGATCCGTGGTGTCACTCGCTGGTGCGAGTTGGTCTTTTTCTCGGGCGACTTTTTCCCCTGTATTGCTCGCTTAGGAATTCGTTCGCGACGTTTCACTCTCGAGGAACAACCAAAGACGAGTAGAGTAGTAGTAAAAAGTATTAAACAACATTTCCATAGGACGTCAAAAAAAAATATTTCAAATCGTTCTAAAAAAATTATTTTCGGTTGTAGGGGTCAATTAGGATCATTTTTGATGACAGACATATCCTTGAAATCCTACGCATTTTCAAGAAAAAATTCTCGTCGAGGTTACCCTAGGTAGGAATCGCGATTGTAAAAGAAATACAATAAATATTCCAAGCTACCGTTTTTCTTTTGAATAGACCTTTCACCTTATGGACCGTGATTACCCAATCTGACTGCCATACCGAGTTATTCTTTAAATAAACGATGTATTACAATTTAAAATAAGAAATAGAGGATTTTCGATGTACATAGTTGTCAATAAGGTGCATCCTTACGTATTTCAATAATCTTGAAATCTTTTAATAATCTTAATCGATTGGTTATTCCAATGAAATTAATCGATCGATGCTAAATTCTGGACCGTACAGCTTTCATTTCCGTTAAAAAATACTAAAATTTCTGTAATTTCATTTTCTGTCTCGCTTCCTCTTGTGTTTATTTCTAAATCTGTTGGTAACGTTGCGAGTGGCACGGAAATGGTAATGGGGCGGCTCTAGAGCCCCAGAAAAATGGGCCGAAAAAATACATTGGGTGAAAGGTCTACTCGTATACCTTGTCTGTGGTTTTGCTTTCGATGCGATATCGACAAAAGTTTTGACCAAATATTGTTTGAGCATTGTACGGTCGTATGGTTCTAAAATCACGATACCTTTATACATATGTAATGATTTTAAAGCAATCTTTATGTTTAAAGAACGATGGTTTTAAATGGTCTTTCTTCCTTTACATGATTTTTCACATCGCTTTGAGCGTACTATACATTAACTTCAGATCGCGCGTATACGTCAGTCTATTTAATAAACTTGATCCAGAGCTTATTTTTGTAATTAAAGAAAAATAATATGCATATTTTTTTACGAACGATTGCACCGCCATCTACGGCAGGACGTCCAAGTTTGTCGTTAGGTTACGGTTACGGTACATAATGACGTACGCCTAACCTAGCTTCAAGTAAGGTTATTTGACGTGTAAACCAAAGGTAGAAAACAAAGCAACAAGTGTTTTAGTGTTTTACGATAAAAAATTATTGATTATGGTAATTATGTGTACATTATTATCGAAATACTAATTAACGAACAATGTAATATACTTTGAAAAGTTTCGTAATTTTTCTTTACTTACTTTGCGTTTCAGGCTCGTTATTTTCGAGAAGAAGATATAGACGGTACGTTCGAATCTATTAAATTTCCCTGCTCTTTACGTGTACCTACTATATTTTTACAGAGTTTAGGGAATGTTTCTATTTGTTTGCAAGAAACGGTCAAATACGTACTCTGGATGAACTTACGATTATTATGAGATCGTTAGGATTAAGTCCTACTATTGCCGAGTTGAATAAATACTTAAAAGACAAAGGTATAAGCGAAATAAGTGAATCGACGAGAACGTCGAGTATTAAAACCTACCTGTTGTTGGGTTTAGGTGGAAAAATGTCGTTTGCCGATTTCTTGGAAGTGATGCATTTACAGACCAGAGCGGAAGATCTACCGAAAGAAGTAATACAAGCTTTCCAAGCTGCGGATAAATCTCGAAGCGGCACTATACCCGCTCGTCAATTAGCTCACATGTTGCTTCGTTGGGGCGAACAACTGAGCAGTAAAGAAGGTTTTCCTTTTAGTTTTTTCAAATTAATAAAAGTATCGGAAAAATACTGTCGTTGACTGATTCGCTCGCGTCTATGTTTCAGTCGAACAAATCTTTCGAGAGGCTAACGTGTCTTCCAGTGGACACGTTAAATACGAAGACTTTGTAAAAATAGCATGTGCTCCGGTACCAGATTACTATTAGGGACCGATAATTTCTATACTTTTATGAAACTTTTTCTACTGCACAGACACGCGTACACGTGTAGTGTACCTACTGTGCGCGTACTATATATTTATACCATGTTTATAATAAAAGGCTGCTATCGTAAAAGAAGAAAAGAAGAAAATAATTTATTTCGAATCCAGTAAATTTCTGTTAAACGGATACTATTTAGGGTTCATCTCTACGTTACGTACAGTTACTCGGCTTAATATACATACGTGGATAATCTCTTGCCGAGTATCGTTTATTTTCTTTACGATACGAATAAGGATAAGAGATGTTCTGTTTGCTAAAAAGTAAATTTGTCGATAAAATACGGCTAAACGAAATACCGAGGATAACATGGATCTTATTCGACGGTGTTCTTAATTAATTGTATTTTCCTATGATCAGGGCACGACGCGACGCGTTGACATCTCAGTCGTCTCTGGCAGTGTTCGTGGACGGTGGTGAGCCACAAAGAATGACAGTGGTACTGACGATCGTTGTAAAGAAAAAAACGCAGAGAAGAGCTCGATCGCTTACCAACGCGACCTGTTTCCAATCTAATTCCATTCTCTCCCGATGATCTTGGTCAGCGAGTCGTTGCTCGTTCCTTTCGATCGTCGCATGCACTCTTCCCAGAACGCGGGACCATTGAGCCTCGAGACTGCCCTCTTTTCCCAGATCTGCAACAACGTTCGCGTGTAATTGACAGGGAACCAAAGACGATAATCGATTCGACAAAATCGGCGTCGAACTTGTTCTCGTTGCGTTCGATGAACGATCAGACAGACGAGGGACTCTGACCTAAAGTTGGACTGCTGCTGTTGCTCTCGTCCCTTCTGGACATGAATTTAGGCGACGACTGCGATTGCGTCACTTCCGGCTTACAGTGCAACGGACAATTGTTCTTTCTTCTCGGAGGTTCGACCGGTTCCTAACGCGAATTAGACAAGTTGGTAAAGATATGAAGAAACGGAACAGATTGGCGAGATTACCGATCTTTTCTCCTCTTGGAAATTGAGGAAAACTACTCGAGCGAGTTTGTTCAGGACCAAAGATCGAACGATACCCGGCACTCTGGTTCCTCGAACGCCTCGATGGTGAAGATTCAAAGTGACCACCGCTAATCCCGAAGCGAACGATACCAGGCATATACTGACACCGTAATAAAGGCCTGAAAATAACGAAAGGAAACGGTGATCTGAGAAAGGAAAAAATCGAGTAACGTCGATCGAACGTACGCGTGTACTCACTTATCAGCGGTGTTTTCTCCGTGGGCGGAAGCGTCTCGCGAATGGTCATCAAGAAGACCGTCATGGAGAGAAGAGCCGAAATCCCGAGGGTGACTTTTTCCCCCGATTCCGAGGGCACGTAGAATACCAACAGAGCTGAATAGACCAAGGGAGGACCTGGCTGAATAAAACTTTTCCACCAGTACCGTTCTCGTCATGGAATATCGAACAGAAGGCATTCTTGCTTGAGCCGCGCGAAACTTTGCCACATGGCGAACGAAAAAAAAAGAAAAAGAAAGTTTCGCATAAATTTTTTCTCCCGAGCGGATAACCGAACCACCCCCTCTTTCGTTCGATCATGGAGATTTCTTTGATAGAGACTCAAATTGCTGCGTTCTCGGCAAAGATTCCTTTTTAAAATAAAAAACATTCTACCGGTTGCGGATAATTCGACTAATCCTTGTGATACGGAATTTCAAATTGTACAAGGAATAAAAATGGTAAAATCGTAATTGGCCCTAATCGTATTCGATAGAAGAGAGAGAAACCCTCTGGTTTCGACTACGACGGCGACGACGACGACGACGACGACGACAACTCTCGTAAAAGTGTACAAAAATGAGGAGATTATAATTAGGTTGTGAGTCGATAGAAGAGAAATGAAATATAAATGGATCGTATGGAACAAGAACTCACCTACACCGTTGATAAGTATGCAAGGGAGGATCAAATTAAAAACGTAGAACATCGGACGGCGTCGTAGTCGGATCTCGTAGGTGATGTCCGGATACGGTTCCGGGCAGCACGAGTAATACTCGACGTTTCTTCTCGCGGAGAAATCGAGTAGATCGAATTCACCGTTAGCTTGGTAATTGCTCACGTCTCCTTGCTCGCTTTGTTTCTCCAACTCGAGCTGCGTAACATATTTTAACGATACAGTTTCCTCGTCATCCCCCAAAGTAGAGAAGGAAAGATGATGTTTATATTTTAAGAGGGTAATGATCGATAGTGGAATAAAATGTGTGGCAACGGGGTTCGGGTTGATCGCGTTTGATGCAACGGGATAGAGGAAATAGGAAACTTGTATCTGGCAGCCGGATGATTCGTTCGTTGATGAAAGAGCAAGTTTCGCGGGCAGAAGCGTCCATCGGCGAATTAATTTCGCGCCGGCGAGCAATCAGAGCCGAGGCGTCTCCCATGAGCGAGTATGCAAGACGAGGCTCGGAGATGGAGAAATTCGGGAAGGTTGGAAGAGAGTCGAACCGGGATCGTATTTCGAACGTTTTAGGCGAGAAAAACGTACCGGCACGCAAAATGTATTCAACGAGGGCGCATAGGAAATGGAAAAACTCTGTGAAAGGGCGCGCGCTAGAAACGGTTCGCATTCAACTATTCTCGCATTCGGGATTAAGCTCTTGGATTCATCCGAGCCATTTTCGCGACTCGACGAGACCCGGTAGGTATTTTCGATTTGCTGCCGTTAAGCGTCTCCGTACGTACCAGGGGAAAAAGCTCGGTCTTTCTTCGTCGATGTCAGAAAATGTGTTCGCCGTTTTGCCAAGATAAAGCAAAACGATACGCTTGTAATGAACCAGTTTAACGAACAAATTGTCATTTGCAACAGAGTGGGAATGTTATGTATCTTTTGTTTCTAGTCAGTCGTTTCTTCGCTTTCCATTGGCATGTAGAGAAAGGTACACGCGTACGATATACGTATAATATTTCGCAATTACGACAGTTTCATCCATCTTCTTTTTTAAAAGCGAGCTTCGGCGAAACGAAAGTGAACTTTTTAATTCAAAGGATCCGAAGGAAGCCAGAAAACGTCGAGATTTTTAAGAGGAAGCGAGCACAATAACGACAAGGGTCGGTGCGGCGCTGGGCGGCGCTGGGCGGCGCTGGGCGGCGCGAGTCGAACGGTAAAAATTTAATCCGAGGCTCTCTCGTTCCTACCTACTTCTCGAGAGAAGCAGAGCCGGTGCATTTCCGGATTGATAACGAGCTCGCAAGCCGGCCGGACGGATCTTTGGTCCGAGAATTTAGCCTAGATGCAAGTCGCGTAGGTTGATGACAAGGACTATCGACGATCGACAAGTCTGAACAATATATCGTTTGTAGATATACGTAAGCCGTCTGGCCCTTGGAATACATAGTAAAGGTTTTCCCGTAAGATTGTCGTTACTCGGTGTTGGCGCGGGTTCGTAGAGTCGAGTCGAGTCTTACTTGGTATCCGTCGTACGTCCACGAGGCCCATTTCAGTAGACATCGTTGCTCGTCGAAAGGGAAAAACTCCACGTCGATGTCGCAGCTACTACGAAAGATCCCGTGACTCAGCCACAGCACTTCTCCCGTGTGGCTGACGATCACGTTCGTATTGATGACCGCCGAACTGTACTGTGGATCTGCGCTACAGAGAAAGCAGGGTTAAACGGGTCGCTTAAAAGTTACGTACCTTACCGTTTCGCATGCGCGTAATTACAATTATTTTAAAGGAAAACCGTAAGCGCGTGTCAAAGCGAATCCTCGAACGAGAAAGACGAACGAGAAAGACGAGCGATAAACTCGCGAACGTTTACTATTTTCTTCCCCGGTGATGGACCGTTTCTTACTTGTTGTACAGAATCGTGTCTGGTCTCCAAATACGATTGTAGGGCACGCGAATTACCCGGATTCCAGCGAATTCCGAGGCGTTCCATTTCAAATGATGGTCCGTCCAGGATTGCGTGACCCAACAATTCGTCGTGAGTATCTGGTTCTTCTCGTCCTACGATGAGAAACGAAACAAAGTTGGCATTACTTTTCGATCGACGGAACAACGTTTGCAGTTTGCGCTCCGTTAATTTCGCGATACGTGAAATCGTGGTTGGTCCAGCGTCGGAAAAGATTTTCTATTCACGGATGTGCTCGCGATTATCGAGCAAGATCGTTAACGTAAATGCAACAATATTTGTTAGATATACTCGAATATTTGCAACGGACGAAGAGTAACTGTACCGGTTAGCAGCAGCGAGGCGGCCGGCCGTTTGTCTCGCACTGGAGGATCTCGCTCGTATCGCCCATCGACGCGACAATCATCGCGAGGCCGACAAAAGAAGTACATGTATATGTATGTGTAAATGAAAATTAATCGATATTTGCCGAGTCGGAGACGGCTGTATCGCCCAACTGCCGATACTAGTGGAAGTTAATGCTGCTCCGAGCAGACTTGACCTGGATTTCCTATTTCACCGCCTCGCCGAAAGAAACCAATGAAATTTCCATCCAACTACTACTACCCGTACTTTGGAATTATAATGGTTTGGTTTTGGCTGGAATGCATATATTGTTACGGCGCGCTGCACCGTGCCGCATCGCATCGCGACGCGTTTCGTTCCAAGATGCGCCAAAACTATTTTTACAATATTCACTTTTACGGCACATTTTTTCTTCTCGACTCGTTTACAAAGTAGACGATACCCTTTTTGTATCGTTTGCTGCCTCGATACTCACGACATCGATTATGTGATGAAGGGAAAGTCCAAAGACGACCGCCAAAGGCTGAGAAGAATTTTTCGCCGGCCGAACACCGGCGTCGTATCCATCCAGAAGATACTTGGTCAATCTGTATTCATGCTCATCGCCGAAGCCTGCAAGAAAACCAATTTTTAATCAGTATTTTATTTAATTTCATCGAGATCGCGCACCGGCGACCGATGGAGCAACGAAATTGATTCTTGATCGCGAATCGAACGCGTCGAACCGCCGCGCCGGTTTTAAAAATTCTTTCTTCCTCCTAATAACGAATCCAATTCCGATCGTTGTATCAAGGCTATCCGTTCTAATGTTTCCGATCTGTACGCGGAAGCGTTCGTCCCATTCGAGTGGCCATTGTGTCCCGAAACGCGACGAAGCCCTATCCGTCCAGACAAGACCTAATCCTACTATCGTTTTATCTTTTCAGAGAGCTAACCAGCCAACCGTTGCCTTCCAATCTCAATTAGATAAAAGATCTTCGCGGTGCAAGAGACAATAGCATCGTGATCCGATGGTTGTTCAAACCTGCCTAAAAGTACTACCTATACACACGTTAATACTAGTTGGCGTACATTTAGTTTGCTCGGAGGGTGAGGAGCGATCGAATAGATTAATTAAAATGTAACGTTAGTTCGGGAATTCGGGAAAAATGTTACTGGAAACGGTCCTCGCGCGTTCAGTTTTGCGAGTCGCGTGATCGCGCGAGTGTCGCGGTTCACAAAATTTCTCTTCCCCAAACCCTCTTAATTCCGATCGTTAAATCTCGACGTCACTGTCGCGGTATAGCGGGTCGGTTCTACATATATGCGGAGGCGTTTCACTTTTCTGAATCGTTCAACGGACAACCTTACAGCTTTTTCCAATGTTCTAAAGAGAGGACGAAACGTAATTGAAAAGTATCGGAAGAGTCGCGAGCTAGCTACACCGAGCTAGTCTCGGGGAGGGGAAAAAAGAGAAAAAAGAAACAAACTTTTGATAGTTTTCCAAGCGCCCGGAAATCCAGTTTCGGAACCCTAAACGCAAGAAATCTATTTTTCACGCGTCCGTACCGACAAAAATAACGGATAACGAGGCGCTCGATATATTCAAAAGATTCGTTCGTTGTCGCTACGAAATACTCGATCGCTGTGACGCGGCGCGGTGATGTGTTCGAGAGAAAAAGAAAAAGAAAAAACGATTTCCTTCGTCGTATAAATTCTATTTCACCGTAACACTGTTTTCAAGCGTTGCGACTTAAATCCGTGCTTTGAGGACAATTGGAGCGCAATGATTTTTAGCAGCGGGAATTGTCGACGCGCGTCGCTTACAGTTTTATCCTCTTGTACCTACCTACCTACCTACCTACCTACACGCTGCTGCCCGCGATACATCACCTAGCTCTTTCCATCTCTGATAGCAACTATTTCCAACTATTTCCTTTAGTTATTAAGGTAGAAAGAAAAGAGAAATCCGAATACCTGCGATATACCAAGAGGAAAGAAGCAACAAGATAGCGGATGGATGGTATTAAAGTAAGATTACCTATCGGGCATTCGGTTTAAGAACGCGCCAGTTTTAAGAGTATGCATCCGTGGCTTATACCGTTCTATACGTACTTACTCGAAATGCAGCGATAAAAAAAGTTCAAATCGGTCATCGACACGACCGAATAAATGCACAACGGTCTTGTTGTTGCGCGAGCATCGAGGGATTCGCTTTTTCATCCGCGCGTCGAGAGCTTTTCGATAAAGGTTCACACGCGACATGGAATCCTAAGAAAACTACTACCACGTGAAAATCCTATTTAGATATTTATTCCTTTCATGTAGAATTAATTTCGCGAGTTTGCTCTTAGCCGTTGGCCAACCGCGGATTCGTTTCGCGAGCGAAAGCATTTTTTATCGCGTCTTCTTAGGCGCTCGAGAGCTTCTGCCTCTCGTCGTCGAAGAAGAAAATGGGTTTTAAACGAGAGATTGACGAGCATATAGTCGCCAGAGACGAACAACGACGAACGATAAAAAAATGTTCAACGAACGGTCGATGCTTCTCGATCGTACGTCTCGACGAAAATTTCTTCACGTATAAACAGCTAAGAAAAATTCCTGCCCTAGATCGTAAATCGCCCCAACCTGTTTATTATACGAGCCTCGGTTATATTCGTTGCTTCTCATAGCGAACGTTAACGATAAAAACTTTGTTCGATGATTTTTCCAATTATGAAATATTTATCGTTAAATTGATCGGCCGATAGTTATTTTAATGGAAAACAAGTCCAGTCCGACGATCGTAACGCGTTAGCCGACGCAAACGTTTTACAACGAAGCTTATTTACCGTAAGGGTAACGATAACGCTGCTAATTGTAAGATACAAGAACCTTTGCTTCTACTCTCGACACGCTTTTACTTTCTTGAGCAAACAATTACATTCCTAATTACACGATCGGAATGATTGCTGGACTCTTTACGCGTAAAACCTTCGGGCAGACCATATACACGGCGAGCACGACCCCGAGAGAGAATTTCCCTTTACGTAGTTGAATTTGCAACCGCGCGAACCCCACCCCCGGGAGGGGACACGGATGTCGCAATAAAATCGAATCCGTGCAGTCGCCGTGGACTTTTTTCGTCGCTTAATTTTACCGCAGGTGGGAAAATTTTCCAAGCCAGAAACTCATTTACAACTCAATCGGTGCTCATGAAATTCCAGCCTAGAAAATCCTGTCGGGGCCGGGCAATCCGGTTATCGAACAGACAGAAGAAATTGCCCTTAATCGGTACTCGTTGCGGCTGGCTGGCTTTCGACGATCTCGGCTACGCATCGAAATTAAATCGCCTATGCAAATAGATCATCTTCCATCGCGAATCGGATCTATCTAACCAACGATCGAACCGAAACGACCGGCGGTGGTCTTGCTTCTATAATCTTTCTCGACTATATGTATGTATTTCTCTTGCGAATCGTAAAATAAACACCTATTTACAAACGATTATTACTCGTACCGAACAAAATGATCGATTTAACTAGTTCGATTCTATGTTATTCGACTCTTTCTTTTTATTCCATCCTGTCGTTACAGTCCTCGAGTTGTATCGTCACCGACCAAAAACGCCAAAACACTCGCTATACACCAATATCAACCTATACATGTACCAATCGGAGGGTGAAACAAATTATTGGTCTACGATTGAAATCAACACACTGGCTGAAAAGAAAATTCAACAAACTGTACCTTACTTGTCTCGTCGGTACATATCAGGTCGGGCAATTTTATCCATGGAACCGTACACGTTAAATCAATCTTTATATGTATACGTATATGTAAAAAATGTACAACTTCCAAGGATTAAATTTAAATATCGCTCGCGTACGAATAACGTGGCTACCTACATCAACCAGACTTTCCACGTCGTTCGTAAACAAACAACTTTTTGGTAAATTTATTAAATTAACGGATAGAAAGGATCGAATACCATTTTGGAATTTATTTCTCGACGACAACTTGAGAATCCTTTCGTTCTGGCTAAACGATAACAATACGATCTCTTTCCGCTCGAACATTTGATATTCGTGCACGCACGATTGGCAAAATCGCGAAAGAATCGAACAAAGAGAAACGTTTTACTAAGAGAAACGATCGAGTAAATCAGTTGATGCGAAGCAATGGAAAATGAAAAGACTCACCGCTAGCGAAAGTGATGGCCAGAACTCCGTAACGAAATAACAGGACCAACGGCGACATGGAATTGATGGACAAGTTAAACGCGAGACCGCCTGTCCTCGACTGTGGTGTCCGATGCATTTCAACCACCGTGCAATTTCGACCCTGAATCCCGCGCTACCACCCCTACCAACGCGTCTATTCCCAAGGAAATTCGCGCAGGCGTTTCAAACAATACAGACACGAAAGTTAAAGAAACTGCTTCCAGTACCGAGCGTTCCATCCGTCAATCTGTCCCCGTATACTTTCTCCAATTCTAAACACAATACACATATTAATTGCAACAATGATCACGATATAGGAACGTTTCGATCGTATTAAATTCTATTTAACGTATCATAAGACTTTGTTCTTGAATCTTGGAAGATGCCTGCCGAGGATCGCCAGCAACCGATTCACCTCTCCCCGGCAAAAACTAAAAATAAAATATCCTCTTTAGAAATATTATTCGACAAATATTACAGGTGTAGCTTCTATCATTAAACGATCACCCTTTTTGCGTTGTTTTCCTCTTCCATTGATTTTCACCTGTCACACCGGCACACCGCCGCCGTTCTTCAAATTGACAAGAGACTTTCATCCATACGGAGGAATTTTTCAGTTACAACAAATTAATTAAAAATTTCTCGTTGTACGTTTACGATCGGTAAACGTTGTTTCACGATCTAGGAAGAGTTCGGTGCAATGACATCGTATACGTTCGAATCGTCTGAAAAATGGACGCAAAGACGAGTCAGTGTTTAAAGTGCGAGGGGGACGTGATGGTGGACATCGATCACTGTCCAAAATGCGCAGCTTCTCTAAAATTTTTGAAAAAATCTGGCCCACTGGTGGTTAAGGGTAAGACAGAATCCGTGAAAATTCCCGTGAAACCTCTGGAGGGTAGCTACGTGATGCAAATCGTCTCTATTGGAATTAGACCCGACAACGTTTACGAGGTTCGGCACGAATATCGACGATGCTCGGCGAACAACCAAACGAATATGTTTATTTTTATTACAGGCAAGAATGTTGTTGGCACCGGAAGTGGACATGTCTTCGATCAAAATAACCGTAAAGGGTTGCAATCTTCGCGTGAACGTGTGCAAACCGTTCGACGATCGAATCGCGAATCAACTGCCAGACGTTGCAGAAAAATCGGTTCTCGGTGATCTGATCAAAACAACCATGAAACATTGCGAGAATTTTCTCATACCGGACGACATCGATGGCGAGAAAGTTCGCGCTGTGGTGGACAACAAGCACAGAATGCTCGTTCTCACGGCACCCGCGATCAAACCTAGCAAAGCGAGAAAGAAATTTATTGCAAAAAGTTGAAAAAAACAAATTATCTTTTTCTTTTTTACACAAACTGGCTACCGACGCGCGACCATCGAAACACGAATTCGAGAAAACAATAGATGATCGCGCGTTGTCAAAATCGGTCGACTTTTCGGTTAACCTCGAAATATTATAATATATCAAACATGTTTTAATAATTTTGTAAATTCATACCCCGATCGTCATGGACAGTTTGCCACATCATTGCCGCGAAAATGCGGCTATTTTTAAGCAAAACGATTACATGAACCTCGAAACGATGTCGAACGGGCTGAGAATGAGTTTAAAGTTTGACAAGATTCCGAATTTTTACATAATCGACAATAAAGAATGTTATGCTGTACGTTTGTCGCAACTGTTCTCGGTGCCTTTACTTTCACTCCTATAGAATGTTTAATCAAAGGTTATTGGATGTTCGCAGGCGGAAATGAAGATCGAGGGATTAAAAGTAGGGACGGCTACTCTAGCCACTGAAAACGTGTTGAACATCAAATTGCACAGTTCCGAAGACTGGTCGCACGTCAGGAACTTGAACTTTCTGATACCGCCGGAAGCAAACGCGAAGAAAGTGTCGGTCGAGGTATTCGATGACACGATCTTCGTGCGAGCTCCGCTTAAGAAGAGATACTCGTAACGTATTTAATGTATATTTATCGTTACATTGGTCGATACGTGGAGAAATTACCCGTCGAAGGTGTCGGAGATCAATTACAAGGCGGTTGCCCTAATGTATCAGTTGTCATCCCAATTTTTTTATTCAAAACAAATAAAGCTCGTGGGTCAACGAGTTGTCGATAAAAAGTTTTTACTTCTTGGCAGGCACGGGTGGTTTCGATGCCTTCTGTTTCCCATCTTTCTCCGTTGTTTTCATCGATTTCGGTTCCGCAGCTTTCTCGGTTGGTTTTCTCGCTTTCGCGGGTTTAGCCGTCGCGACGCTGGTTCTTGGTTTTTTCACGGTGCCCGACTTTTTCGGTTTCGCTGTTCTCGCGACCATAATCTGCTTCCTACGTCTCTCCTGCAGCAGCTTTGATTTTATAGCCGGTGCGGTCTTTGGTAGCTTCATCTATACGCGCAAAGTATCTCGTTAAACTTTACACCTACATTCCCGATATTATTCGACATTGGAAATTCAACTTACTCCGCGTTTCTCCGCTAAAAGAATCTCCCTCTCTTGTTGACGTTTCATCGCCGTCAAAATTGCCGCACGTTTCAGCACAGCGGCGTACGGGTTCAGACGCAACATCGCGCGAGTATTGGACAACGGATTCAGCTTCTTCACGCTGCGGACCACCCTCTTCCTGCAATTACAAAAACTACTTTCCTTCAAAACTGCTCGCATCGCGAGCAAACCGATAAAATACTTCTTTTTTTTTTTTTGAAAAACATCAGTTGATATAATAAAGTTATCACTGTCAATCAGCAACACAGACCAAAGATAATTCATCATGATTACGATACAGATTTTATTGTTCAAGGTATGTATATAACGTGTAGGATTACTACGTGCCTTGGTGCTCTCAAAACTTTGCGAATTTCATCGGCTTTTAAGAGTCTCGACAAATCCGTATTAGCCATCTTTGGGAAGGGCAAGTTATAACCAGCTTTAAGTTTCGATTCCTTGCGCCAGGTTCCGTAAAGAGCATCCAGCTTTTCAAAAGCGGACTTTGTCCAAATTACGAATCGTCCGACATGACCACCAGGTGCCAACTTTAGAAGATTCACTTTGTTGATGTTCATAAGATCAACACCGGGAATGTTGCGAAACGCCTTACGAATACCCTAAGGATAGTACGAATTAGAAAACTATACGATCATCTCCGCGAAATCATAATAAACTGATTCTTTGTCATTTCCTTACCTGATCTTGACCGTACACGATCAAGGGTCCTCGGCGTTGAATGCGTCTGCGATTACGCATTTTACCCTTACCTGCACGGAAACGTTGCGACTTGTATACCTATAAATAAATAAAAGAAAGATACTAATCGAGACCAATGTACGATAAATTGAATTTTTATACCACGATCGACTGTGTTTGGTTACATTTACCCCTATTCTAGCAACTAAATTAGCTAGCCAAGAACGCCTGGTAGCCATGTTTCTTTAGCACCCGATAGGAGCATCTCGATTAAACGTGTTTTAATAGAGACGCGGACATTTCGACGGTGCAGAACAAAAATATATATAATATATTGCTTAAAGATATACCTACTTTTTGGATATCGTTCCACGCCTTGATACGTCTCAAAAATATAACGGCATGTTTAGTTTTGTTATATTCTTGAATTTTGTCCGATACTACCAAAGGAAATTCTGGAACTTCTTGGATCATATGACCTAAACGTTAAAGAAAAATCAAACTATTGGAATTCAAATAATGAAAATATTTAGTATAATACCAATCTGATAATCAATGAATATATCACGGCAACACGGACCAACAAAAATTCACCGCAAAATTAGTTTACTAATTCGCGTACGCGAAATATACGTGACTCGACCAGTTGATCGATTACCTTTAGATTGTACAAGAGCCGGGACGCCGGATGCAGCAATAGCAGAAACTAGAGCGTATCTTTTTTGGTTAACGTTAATTTTACGATGCCAACGTCGCCAAGGTTTCGTCGGGGCAAACATTCGTCCACCTCTACACATGTTGCCGAACGCACCTTGTCCAGAGCGGTGAGTACCACCGCCTCGTACACGAGGGATACGTGCTACCGCACGACCAGTACCCCATGATTCCGCGGAGGTTTGATGACCTGATAAAACAAACCTATATTTAATAATTTCACCATTAGTTCTTTAACGAATAAGAATAAAAAGCATATCACGACACTTTCACTCTTGAGCAGAATAACGATCAGAAAACATTTATACTCACCGGCCTCCTTGGATACGCAATATGGCTGTCTACTATTCTTCGATACTTGTTGATGAACAAAGTTCACAACGTCTGGCCGAATTGGTGCTTTAAATACAGCAGGTAAAGAAATAGTATCCCCCGATGATTCATTTTTATCGGTATACACAGTAACAAGCGGTCGCGCCGTTGATAACGACTGTAAAAAAAAAAAAAGAAAAAAATCATTAAAGGTACGTGTATTTCATAATATTTTCAAGCGATATCGAGAAATACGGGTAGAGGTAAAATTATGTGTTCCCGTTCAACTCGAAACGATCTCGATCGACACACGACGTATGGCGGATCGACAAAAATTACGATTATTACACGTCCAATATAAACGTTTCAATACGAATCGAAACAATTTAACTGCACCGAAGAACACGAGCAGAAAAAAATCATGTATACTCGACAGTTGCACAATGGAAGATTTTCTAAGCAGAGTTACATTAATATTGAAACTACAAATTATCACACGTGGTCAACGATGCGGTGGTGACCGAAACTCTGTATCTCATGGGAAATTCTTATGAATCGAGAAACGCTTTAGCAATGAAACAATATTAAACGTTAGTAGAAAATGAATTCTGAATAAAATGTAAGATTTCTTACCATCTCGCGATCCTTTTACAACCTTTCACGCATGAGACGAACCAGGCACCCAACACGCCTCGCCTGGTCGAAAAGGAAGAAGGACGCAAACGGAAATTGTACAAGCTCGCGCATGCTCGGAATCGAGTGTTTTCTAAGACGCTGTTCACCGTCGTGCCAACTAAAATACGTATACACGTATAAACTTTTGATAAACAAAAAATATGTTTTAACGATTAAATATTCCTTGGAAATAAGTAAAAAACCATAAGCAATAATTTTGTTTAACTAAATATTTTCAAGCACCCTTTCAGCCTTAATTATTCATTTCGTTCAAGGGGAAAGTCACTAGTACCAGCTATTTTTTCTCCTTTTTAATAAATTCCAATAATCCGGTACATTCGAATAATTTGATTCGTTTCTCAAATTTACAGACTGTTGTTGAAACATAAGTTCCAACGACAGAATATGAAAAATGAACAAACCGATTTATCAACGAACATAATTCGCTCGAGAACGTTTCTATCGCGCGACAATTTAAAGTGTACCGTAAAGGCGAAGGGAAACAGGACTTGGTAACTTTCTCCTGGCTCGGTTCAAATTCGCGTTACCAAGTGTTTGTTGCGGTGGACATAATTTTTGTTTACGGAAATTTCATCAAAGATACGAGGATTTATTTATCTATTTTCTTCTAAATGGCAGGAGAAGTTATCGTTGATGCGTTGCCGTACATAGATCAAGGCTACGATGAACCGGGAGTTAGGGAAGCGGTAAATAAAGTTTTGTTTTTGTAAATTCTAGACTAAAACAAATTACGATTGAATTGTTTATATGTTTATTTACATTTTAACGAAGTAAACATAAATAGTATGTTACAATTAATGAATATTTTAGGCCTTGGCAATGGTCGAAGAGGAAACACGTAGATACAGACCGACCAAGAATTATTTAGAACATTTACCACCGCTGAATATAAATGCTTTTGAAACAGATGTAATGAAACACGAATTCGAGCGAATGCAAAATCGTTTACCCATGGAAGTACTCAGCATGAAACGTTACGAATTGCCTCCACCGCCTCCAGGCAAAATGAACGATCTTGCTGCGTGGAACGAAAGCGTAGAAAACAGTAGCGCGCAACTAGAACATCAAGCTACTCGGTATACATATAATAATTTTAACGTCGTGATCCTCTGCACCGCGTTAGATAAAAATTATTTTTTATCGTTGCAATGTTTTATACTTTTGCAGAATCTGTAACCTGGAATTAATGATGGAGTACGGATGCGAAGCTTGGAAATCTTATTTAGAAATATTAGTACAGTTAGTAAGTCAAGCACAGAAACAGTTGCAAGCGTTAAGGAAAAAGATTCAGGAAGTGAACTGGCAAAGGAAATCGATGCAGACTCAAGGAGGGGAAAAACTGAGGGCATTAGAGGCACAGTGGGTCGGTCTGGTATCAAAGAACTACGAAATTGAACAAGCATGCGTTCACTTGGAGGAAGAAATACAAAAATCGATGATGAATAAAGGTGAAGCTGTGGAAATCAATGATGTACCAGGGGAGGAAGAACCAGATGTTCCAGGAAAAAGTGCCACAGAGGTTATGGCGACCGAAATGAGTCAACAAGAACAAGAAAATTAAGAAATGTAAAAATCCTGTAACAAAATTGATGTGTAAATTTGTAAATTATTGTTTTATATGCATATTTAAATATATTAAATGTTTAAAGTTAATTAATCCCATTCGTCTTGCCTTGTATTAAAAATCTTTGTACAGACTGTACTATCGGATACGTTCGGGCAGAATCTTTCACGATATTACATAAAGACGACGTCGTTGTTGTTCGATGTCGAACGATCGTTTTTTGAAACAACACTTTGTTCGAAAATTTCTGAAATTAGTGGAAAAGTGGTCTACGGAATAAGACGTTAAAAAATTTCGAATAGTTTCACATTTTTTTTGCCATCCCTTTTATAACAGAACGCAAAACGATTTGCTTTAAAATCGGAGGGGTTAACGTTAACGAGGAACAGATTACAAGAACCATCTGATAAAGGAAACATTGATCGAGAGACTGTGTCGACCGAAATATCAACGGAAATTGGAAAAGAGAGAAGAATGCCAGTCGGTGTATCGACGTCTCGATTCGTAACTTTCTCTACATTATCATTATTGTCTATGATGGCTGGTTCACAATGGGTTCACCTTATTTATAGACCACTGGACGATTTAGACGATTTGATAGAACAGGCAGTGAAGGAAAGATTAACGAAAACGTAATGGCAACGAATATACCACCATAGAAGAATGTAACAATGATTAGACTTTGTAAATAAATGCGACTATGCTATGAATATAAAGGTTACAGTAACTACACTTTACTCGTTCAAGTAGTGACATTTTGATGATAGAGATCAAGAGGGTAGAAGTTTTTACACGGTCGATGAAAAATTAATAAATTAACGTGCGATGGTAGTAGATTTAATAAAGCACAATTTATTTCATCATAGTTTACACGTATCACGCTTTTCTTTAATGCTTGAAATATACATATTTACAAGACGAATATCACGGTCTATAAATGGCATATAATATTAAGTAACAATTATTTATACGTGATGGTATATCTGGAGGACACTCTTAAATAGTTTGCTCGCATCGATGTATGTATTCCGGCAGCAGAATCACGTAAGCCTAGCTCTGTAATTTAAATCCATTTAGGATAGCTACTACACGTGTCGTCGTCTTCTTCGTAGAATTCGAAGAAGCGAATAGTCAAGCGTTATTCTCGGGCAACTACTCGTGTAAAAAAATACGTAAATTCAATCTCCGTTTCGGCGTTCTATAACGATAGGATAGATAATAAAAAATATTCCATCGTCGAGCCGGTGTCCAATGATTTTCATTAATCACTGAATTGTCATAACGATGTCTCGCTGGCACCAGAACTTTGCGACTGAAGCGGTAAACTCGTTTTATATCTCGCTGACTCCTCCTCTAACAATGCTATGCGTTGCTTCAACGTTTTCACCTATAAATTCATGGGAACTTGAGAAAGTTGTAAACGTTTAAACCAGAGCTAGAGAGACTCTGTCGTTAATCTTCATCGAGCGAATGAAACGCGACTGCGCGACATTACGTCACGCGTAAGTCATCGACGAAAAGCAAAATGGTGGCTGTACGACGGGGGAAGTTGTTCGTTCGAGGCAAAGATGCTTTCTACGTTGCGTTACAACGTGAGAAGGACACTTCGAATATGTTACCATAAATTGCCTGGAAAGGCTCTCCAAGAATTTCGACTTTTACCGCTGTTCTTCCTAATGGGTGCTGGCCTGGAGTATACTATGATACATTGGCACGTTGGAGAGGTTAACTTTTACAATACGTACAAGAAAAGGAAAGTAGAAGAGGCGCTCGAAGAAAGATTACGTGAAATGGGAACAAAGTCCGTGTAATATAGAGGCAAGGACGATAAAGTTACCAAGTACGTAGTTAGTTTTTTAAGAATAGAAATATTATTAAGCGTGAATTTTCCTCCACAGGCTCGTCGACGACTTGTATAATTTAAGTTTAAGTTAGATGGCTGTAGGGGTAATACGAAAATGTAAATTTTTGTAGATCGAAAGAGTGAGAAACTCGTAATAAATGAAATTTCAAGAAGATGTATAAATATTTGAAACGATTGTTCTTAATACGTTATAGCATGGTACGTTTATCCTTATTCATACCTGTGCAGCGTGTCTTTCAACCATTCCCAACATTTGTTGTTCCAATTTCTTTAACCTGGATTGATATTTTTTCTTGGATTTTTCTAAATTTTGTACCAGAGCTCTAAAAATACACCGCGTACGGTAATTAGCGGTTAATTTGTTATTCCAGTTTTGTGTATAATTCGATTACCTACCCGTTGGCTCTTTTCAGATCGTTAACAAGTTCGGCCGACTGTTGATGCCTCAGTTCGGAGTTCTTGTTAACTTTATCCAACGTCGAAACTAATTCCTGTAACCGTTCTTTTAGTCTAGCTTCTCGGCCCAGCGCCTCTATCAATTCGGACTCTATGCCTTCGCTTTCGTTGTCGCTCATACCTCGATCCTGCGTGTAAAATGTACCAGTTGAAAGAGAATAGTATTTTTTGTTGTTGTATAGAAAAAGGAGAATCGTATCGTTACTTTGTTCGTTGCCATTGCCAGCATGGCCTCCGTATCGTTAAGTTGACCCTGAAGATGTTCAATAGCAGCATGCTGAGCCGCGATTTGCGTGTCGCGTGCGTTTAATTTTAATTCTATGGTAGCCCGTTCCTTTTCCAAGAGGAAAACGCGTGCCCGTAACTCTGCTTTATCTTCCCGCATAGCCATCAATTCCTACGCGGTTATTACGACAAAGATGTATTTATTTGGTTGCGAATAGTAAACGTCGATCGAAAGGAAACGCGCGTACAAACCTGCATCAAGACGGCGGTTTCCAAATCTAATTTCCGAACTTCTGCAAGGGAAATGGTGTGTTTCGAGTTTAAAGGTTCGGCGTGAATGCTTTCCAATTCCACTGCGGTCGACCTAACCATGGCACGTTCCCCTTTCAGTCTACCGATGTGCCTTCTGAGCCTTTGTTCGTCGTCTACGCTCCACGTTACCTCGGATCTGACCATGGGAAATAATTGAAAAAAGTCCGAGATAAATTTGATCGCCTGCCGCTGGAATCTACGTGCATATAGCATATACTCGTACTTACTCGTCCGACAAGATTATGCTATCCTCCCATGGAGCGTTTAAGGCGTTTATACACTCGTTTTCCAGCTTATTCAACACGTGATAGGCCACGTGTTCGGCTACCCTTCGATTATCGATCGTGATGCTGTTTCTTTCCGTCGACAGAGCGATCTCGCTCTCCAACAAGGCCACCAAAACGTCGTAAGCTTCTATCGCACGATCGCTATAGGAAAGGGCTAGGCGCAACGCTATCGCGTTCGACTCGTACTTCCCTACCAGTAGACTGAGTCTGAAAAGCAAAGCGTCCCGTATAAATAATAATAGCTAGCAACGATATTTAACCGTTGGAAAGGATAAGCGTAACGATCGATACCTGTCGCAGTGCGCCTTGCTCTCGTGCAAAGTGAGCGCAAGAACAGCGTTGTTTGCTCGCGCGTGTTCCAGCCTGCTGTTCAATCTCTCGGTTTCAACCTCGAACTGTTTCTCGGATCCATTTAATTCTTGAAGATTCGAGTGCTCGAGCAGATCCGAGACCAAGTGTTCCGCTACCATCGTGGAGCATACCTAACCGCGACACGAGAAGCAGAGCGCGTCGTGTCGCTAAATCGTATCGCGTAAAGGGTCAGGGATAAGCGGCCCGGGGTTACCCCCTACCTAGGCTACCTACCTTTTGTCGAGAGAATCGGGAGACAGTTTATAATCGCGCGTGTAATTTTAAATTGGTTTCTGAACGGTAACACAGACAGACAACGTATCGGATGGAGGAAATGACAAGATTGGAAGAGAGAGATCTGCCTGAAATTCTAGCCACGCGTAAAGCAATAGATCATCACGGATATCAGTTACGATTACGTACTCCCAAGTTGGTAATATCGGGTCCTGTGATGTGCCTCTCGTCCGTTCTTCTGAGTCTCACCCTCTCGGCCATTTTGAGAACCGGAGCTTCCTCCCTCGTTACGTTCTTTGTCGGCGGTGTCTGTAGGGGCGGTAAGAGTGGCGAACAAGGTGCACTCAAAGGTTCCGGCGAGCTGGTGTTGCCTCTTGTCTGCGGGAACGAAACGAGCGCGAGGAAACATTACGTTGGAAGAGTCGATAAACATTTTTTGCCAAAGTGTCGGCTCGATGAAACACTGGGAGTGGGAATGGGAGCGAGAGCGGGCAGATCAATGGGGTAACGATGGAAAAAATTTGTTACTCTTGTACTCTTTGAAGCGAGTAAAAAAATAGTCGGACACGATCGTGCGTTTTCTGCATAAAATTATAATATAAGCGCGATCGGTACCCACTCTTGTTTCCCTGCGCGGCGATTCGCTGTCAGCCTGTTGCCATTGATTGTTGGACTGATTCTTAAAATTAGCAAGCTGCGTCTGTAAGGTTGCAATTTCAGCTCGAAGGGCTGTGACCTCTTCCTGCAACGACGCCACGGCCACGCTTTGGCACGAGGCTGCTTGCTGCGCTGGCTCCGGGGTTGGTAACGCCGCCGGACTGTCCAACTGTTCTCTTCCATTCTATCGATCAAAGTGTATCCAATATTATGATGTATGTAGGTACGTATTCGTGGTCTGTTGCTGCTTCGAGTTTCGTTAGTTTCGAATGAATTTTTTACGCTTCTACCGTCCGTGTTCCGATCGAAAAGTTTCAAAGTTGCGAATGTGTATCGGTGGTGTTGGCCGCAGAGGCCGGGAAACTCTTCTTTCTTTCGGCGCTCGCGATACTTTTCGTTGGATTAAATTACTTTGTTAAAACTATACATATATCGGAAGACGGAAGTTTGCGATCGGGCGAGCATCGTGGATCGCAAACAAGTAACCGTTTACTTGTAAAAGTTTAAGTTGTTCGAAAGTACCTCGGCAGTGCGCGGTTCGATATCCTCGCAACAGCTGGAATCGACGTCCCCCAAGGTACGATCTCCGTCGCCTTGAATGTCGCCACCACCTTCGCTTTCCTCCACCGGGTTCGTAATCGAGCCCTCCGCGTCTCTGCTCGTCTCTATTTCTGTGAACCATACACGCCGCCGCAATGTTACAACGATACGCTTGAAATTGATCAGGGTAAATGTAAATGAATCTTGTTCGATGTTTCCGAGGCGGCTCGTCGCGTTGTCAGCAGGGAACGCGTTAAAGGTAGAAAAGTTTGGTAAAATATTTGTAGAATCGATGGATCGTCGCTTACCAGACTCATCCTCCTCGGCAATTACGGTAGCACGATGTCTTTCGAGCTGCCTACCGAGTTCGGCGATCACGGAATGTAACTCCGTGAGCCTTTCCTCGTGCCTCGCTGCTTGTTGTTCGGCTCTCTGTTCGGCTCTGGCTGCTTGCACCTCGGCTCTGACCAAAGCCGCTTCAACAGCTTCTCTCGCTCTGGTCGCTGTCACCAGCCTCGAATTCAGCTCGGCTACTTCGGACCGTAGCGACGAAAGCGCGGCCGCGTGGAGCTACAGCAGACAAAATGTCACAACGATAGCGGCTTAACAGCTTAAAAGCGTTACAACGAGACTGTACGTGGATCGATGCTTCCGAGACGAACAGAAATCTAGACGCGCTTCCTATCCGCTGGCTACAACCTGCGATCAATCATACCGTTTTAATCGTAACAACCTGGTCGCGTTTAACGTTCGCCTCTTGTTTTTCAACGTTAAAAATCAGCGAAACGAGACACGCGAACAAGATAAAAATTAATCATCGTCGAGGAGCTAATTGAAACACGTTTCCGTGACGCTCCGACGCGGCGCAATTTGACTCGTATGATTCAACCTGTCACGGCCAAAGATTTTCAAGATGACTCGATAAGGATCGTCGACCGTCGTTCGAAAATGAAGAAAACCTTGATAAGAAATTTAACGTAGATACATATTCAGTGGATTCGATAATCCCAAGTGCCATCGAGGTTGCCTTTATACGTACACATTTCTATCGTTTCTATTACCATGGAACAGAGTAAGCGAAATTGTACGGATAGCTTGGATAAATTTTTAGCGATTGTAATAAACTCTCGAGACTGTGTTAACGCCGGTCATGGTTATTTTAAAGCGTGGCGTGATGTAAATGGAAGCCATGGCGGCGATCGTGGCACTTGTTCCTTGTTATCGGGCGGTCCTCATTAATTTCCGTTGCATTCGAGGCATTTCGAGCGCGAACGCAAGAAACGGGAGAAAAAATTGCACGGGCATCGCGAGGATACGTGTTTACAGGCGACATTGCGTTCGCTCCGCGAGTGTCCTTGACGAGAGCAACCGGCCGTGACGTACGTTACGATACGATGCGTAGAGACGTTAATGATACCTGGCCACGTGATAGAGCCGCGTATAAGAGTCACCGTCCGTAATTACGTAGTTTCATTCGAGAACCGGCCGCTGTCGCTTGCGCTATCACCGTCGCCGTCGCCGTCGCCGTCGCCGTCGCCGTCACCGTCGTATAGCAAAGAAAGATCATCGGTGAACCGGGACGACAGGTAAGTAAAATATAATAGTTGTCGTCTCGTAAAAGAGGTAGGAGGGAGGCAGGCAGGCAGGCATGCAGGCAGGCAGGCAGGCTCCTCTTTCGATTCATAGCCCCGCGAGTTTCTATTTTTCTCTCGTTTGGTCTTGTCGTCGTCGTCGTCGTCGTTAACGAACGGGAGGTGAACAATTTACGATCGAATCGACCGATATCGTATAATTGAATTATCGATCGACGAATAACGTTCCGTGTATCGATTATTTTCAGAAGTTCTCTCGTTCGAATCGTGATAATTGGAGATATCGGCGTTCGATATGAAGCAACTGTTGGCCATTACGTTTATTCTGGCGGTGTTTTGCGCTACGTCGATGGCGCAGTCGGACGATTACATTCATTTGCCAGGGAAAAGCTGCCAGGACGCACCGTCCTGCCCGGACGGTAGACGTTGCGTGATGGCTCCTCCTCGCTGCAACGTGGGCACTTGCGGGACAAACTTGGTGCCCACCTGCGGCCAGAAGAAGCCATGAATTACGCAATATCGTTCCAAGAACAGGTGGACCGCACCTACGCCGCTCGTAATTATTTTTATTCATCGATTGACGCGACTGTTAACCGTCGATACGTAAATAACTATTGTAACGTTACCAATAAATCTGTTTTTCCTTGATCACGATTATTCGTTGTTTAGTGTCGGTGCTCGCTGGAGGTTGACGGTTACCATCGGTTCGCGTACAGGCTGCATTTTTAATGCACGATACTGGTTTTAAGCTGCGTGGTCGTGGTCGTGGTCGTGGTCGTGGTCGTGGTCGTGGTCGTGGTCGTGGTCGCGGTGCACACGCACGTGCGTGCCTCGCAAAACGATACCGGAAATTGTGGCGAAGCGGTGTATGTAGGCCCGACGACGAGCGATAAAATCTCTGTCGCGTAATAAAACGAACGGGAATTCGATAGTCCATAACGAGATACCTGTCGATAAAAATTAACCGGATCCTGTAATCCGTTAAAGAGGTGAAGCGGGTGACCCTTTCGAGATCGTAAATTCCTTAGCCAGTATGCCGTGACCCTTTTTTTACCCCCTCTTTTACCCCCTCTTTTACCTCCTCTTTGTCCGATCGTGAAAAGGGAAGAGCAACCTTACTCGGTTTGATCCGGGGGAACGTTGAACGAGGACGAAGTTGGTCGAGGGACGAGGATACCGTTTGAAACGTTCTTTTTGTAGCCCGTTCGGACAAAAGAGGCGACCCACGGACGCGTCTATTCTGCTTCGATGCGAGGACATTGCCTGTAGAAATGGCACGTCTCTTCTGCGCGCGTCGAATGCTCGAGGAGCGATCTGTGACTCCATCGATCGACCGATTATGATTTTTTCACGGAACATGGCGGGGTTGGTATCTACTTTCGATTCTATCTTTTCGCTATCAACGAAATACACGCGTCTCCGGAAGTAATCTCGGAACGGTAAAAGGCAGTCGCGTAGTCAGGAAATTTGATCCGTTTCGCGCAAACAACGCGTAAGTACAAACGTTCCAACGAGAGCGAGCCGTCGTCTACGGTGATTCGATGGAAAAGTTGAAATCGACCGGTCGTAAGTGTCGGCAGAGGTGAAATGAAATTATCGAGGAACAAACTAAAGTTTATTCGGAAACTCCTCTGTGATATCGATCGTCCGGTTGGTTAGGCGGTGGCAGCAGCGGCGACGGCAGTGGCGGCGGTGGCGGTGGCGGCGGCGGCGGCGGCGGCGGCGGCGGTTCTATCTCTGCGGGATTAAAGTTTAAAGGGTAGTAGTCGATTCTGCGTGAGCTTACGGAGAGACAGACAACTGGACGAGAATGACGAACGAAGAAAGAACGAGAGAAAAGGAAACGAACGGATCGAGAGACCGTGTGTCTCCGTCGATGAAAGACTAGCTGAATGGAAAACGAGGAGAACCGGAGAAGGAAGAGGATAATCTAAACGCGAGGAACGGAACACGAGACAAGGAGAGAAAAATGGACGAGATATTTCAGGATGAATATGGAGGCGCGAAGGTGAGGAACGGAGAAAGGAAAGGAGAGAACCGAAAGTACAGAAACATTGTCCTGTTTCCCGGAGGCGGGACCGTATTCGCTTTGCTTTTCGATCGAATACGACAGCGAGAAAAATTACGAAACTCCATTATCGGGTGTCGGAATTCTCCGTGTCTGGCCTGTTCCGCGTTTCGTTAACGCGTTCTCGGAGACGCGCCTAGTAGGTAGATCGAACAAACACCAAGACTTACAGACTCCTGGTGCTTGTCCCTGTGATTAGTCTCAACCTGTATAGGGACGGTTCTATCGGAGCTGCGATCACCGGGACAGCAAAGCCACGATCTGGACCTAATTAATCCTTTTGGTTCTTCTTCCTCGTCCTCGTCCTCTTCCTCGAGGGCCTCGGCCTCGGTGGTAGCGCAGTGCACGTAAACGAGATTGTCCCTTCGCGGCGTCTCGAGGACTTGTTTGCCCAACGCAGGGACGCGATTCGGCTGCACGGAGAACCTGTTCGTCTGCTGACAGTACTGTTGTTGTTGTTGCTGCTGCTGCTGCTGTTGCTGTTGCTGCTGTTGCTGCTGTTGCTGCTGTTGCTGCTGTTGCTGCTGCACTACTCTCTGTCGGTGTAATCGTTCCGCGTAGTAACCTGGCTCCGCGGAACCATTCTTCACGGCCACCGCGAAGCCCGCCACCTTGTCTATCGTGATTCCCTTTAATTTTTCTTCACCGTAGGATCGATCATCCCGCCGCGATCCCTTTTCCTCGACTCCTCCGATCGATAGTCGAACCGAGGCAAATGTCCGTCGAGACTCGATCGAGCTACAATCGATGGAAAGTTGATCGCGTACGTCTTGTTCGTTAGAGAAAATGGGTTGCCTATCGCGCGAACAAACTTCCAATACCTCGTATCGCCGTAAGAAAGCAAGTAAAATATCGTGGTCGGTAATTATAATTCGTAGACGAAGAGTGGAGTTTTTCCGCTTTGACACGTGCCGCGTTGGTTCGGTTCTCGGCTGGCAGCAGGCGACACTGATTTCAATGTCGAAATCGCGGAAAAGCTCCAACCAACACCCTGGACCGAACGCTTTAATGGCGTGAGATTTGCCGGTTAAAAGTTTTTTTTGTACACGTTGAACGTGTTTAACGAGCGCGGCATTCCTGGTGCTCGTTAACCTGCCATTAGTGGCCCGGTCAACGCTGGTCTTCGATGTTCTCCCCACGGCTGTTCGTTAGCTTTTCAACGATGCGTTTCGACGCCTTTAACGTACTCGTCGATCCGATTACGGGGGCACACTCTTCGCGAATAAAACCGTAAACCGTGTGCAATATACACGTACATATCGCTTTTGCCTTCTTCTTTTCTCGTTATCGAAAGTGTTTGCCGCGGCGCGCGCTCGATGCTCCCGTTACCAGACAACCGGCTGCGACTAGAAATCTCCCCAAATAGAAACACATACTAAAATAATTAAGTCGATCTGTTAAGATAGAGGCTCTTTTAGCCGGTTTATTTTAATTTACAGCATTGTTCGGCGATGTTGCCGTAGGAGGATACGTAACGCTGGTTGGCCGAATTCGAACAGCCGCAGGGGCGACCACCGCGATTGCCGTAATTGCGTTCGTACCAGGTCTGGGTTAGCATAAACTCGTCGATCTAGAAAGCTGGTTAATTGCTCTGGCCAGAGTGTATCAATTCCCGGGGCGAGGACGCGTCGCGAAACGGTCGGATCGACCACATACGCGAAATAAATTAATTGCTCGACCGGCAATTATGAACGCGAGAAGGAAGCAGGGACTTCCACCATGCACCTAACGAGGCCCTTATTACCGGCTGCAATTAGTTTTTACGCGGGGTCAATCCGATCAAAGCCACCACCGTGCAAGGATTCCGCGAGTGCCCGAGTAACGCTTACAACGTAATAATCGTTCCTTGTCATTCTCATTAAAATAAATCTAAATGCGAAGAAAAGGTAATAATCATCTTGTACGCGATA